ATCAGCCTATCAGAGCCCACTGCTGAGCAAAGGCCTCTTCTCACATGGAGAAGATTTGATCATTAATCAACACTTATAATTGGAAATTATAAGTCCATGTTTCCTCACGATATTTTCCTTCTTTTCTTATAAGTGATGTCTAAATACTCTCAGAAAGTACATATGACTCGGAAAAATCACATTGGTACTTACCAGGTTTCAAACCCGCGCCTACATGAGAGGCGGGCCTTTACCCACTAGGCCACCATGACGTCTTTCAATCAATGTAGACTGTGATATTTTTGGTATTGATTAGAATATTTTATTGAAACTTTTTAACCATTCTGCATAAATATATTTAAAAAATCAGATGTTTATTTTTGGGATTAATATATATAGTAATAGTATATTGATATGGTACATATTTATTTGATTCCCCTGTATATATATCGCTTCACTACTTGGTGCTATACAAAGTGAAGAATGACTGAAGCGTGAATACTCCACTTAGGTTACACCAGACATTATTACGCTCTCGTGCCGCTTACATGACAGTTTAACCTGTGATTTTACCTCCTTCAGTATAAAGAATTTAATTTTTTCAATGCTTCATCTCATATTCTGAGATCATAAATTCCCATCCCGCCTTTTATAAGACTATCGTAAAGCGAAAGAAGCAGGATTTAGTCGATTTTCTTTATTGCAAATAAAAAAGACTTGAAACCATTGTAGCTTTATTTGACATTAGTGCTTTAAATATTTAATAATATCGTAGTATATCATATAAAAAGATGATGATAATGAGACGCTTAAAATTAAGTTCGCTCCCTTCAAAACTATTGTTTAGATCAAAAAATACAAGTTTTATTTCTTATACACTTATGCCCTTATTCATACAAATTATAGTTATATGTTCATTAAATATAAAATTATTGAAATTTTAAAGGACAGATATTTTTATTAGCAGTCTGTCCTCAATATGTTGTTTGTTTTTTTTTTATGTAAACCTAAGTCGCGGGAGACGGTAAATTAAATGAAAACGTTGGTTATTATTGTTTTCCCTGAGGATATATTTAGTTCAAACGCATTACTACGGCTTATTAAATTGCTTAGGATAAACATAACATTCTCAATAAAAATAAAAACAATATTTGTAATTTATGGAACCATAGAAGGGAACACTTACAACTATTAGATTTCGACGCCTTAATTATATTAAAACTATAACTATAAATTTTCCTCAATTAACTTTATTTAAACCCAATATCTGGAACATAACAAACCTACAGAAAGTAAAACTTCTTTTTCATGCCACTTTAATCCTTACCAGTTTCTACTCGTTAAATTACCCAGTTGTTTATATTTTTACCTTCTTATAATAACATTAATAATCGAACTTTATTTAAAATTTGGCAATTGGCTGAAGAATCAAACTCAAATCAGGTAAAAACACACAAATTCAACGAAATAGAGAAACAAAACAACCAGAGGATCTGTGTTACAAAACATTTTACTTCTATAGAACTTTAATATGCCATGTAAAATACCATAAAATAGCTATTGACAAGTATTATAATAAATTATAATGCTAACGGTAGGTAGAACTTAGAAGCAATATCAAGTAGTACTTGACATTGCTTCTAACAAAGTTCAATATTCTAGATAGGACTTAAGTAGATTAGTTTATAGTTTGATTCCCTTACTAGGGTGAAAAAATATTCATTTATAATAGTTGTATCCTTTATGTCTATATGTATGTCTAGATCAGAACTTAGAATTTGTACATTCTCTGGTCTGGTAGGACATCTGATTTTTTGATATTAATAATAACATTTACGTCCAACAATAATTCCTATAAAGCTTTTAGTTTTGCTGACATATCTGCCACATGAGAAAAAAAGCATCCATAGAGCAAGAATAGTAGTTAAAACAAAAGACTATTGCTCTTCTATCAAGGTTTATATAAAGTATTAATAACCTATATAAGGTATTAAATACGTATAGGGTAAAACTTCGTGTGATGCTAATATTATTCTGGTGATAATTGGACAAAATTTATTAATAATACCTTCTTCTTATTTTTACCTTAACACAAAATATTCCAAGCCAGGGTTTTTAACTTATTCATTAAACATCCATTGGCTTTGTGTTGATTAACAACGCCACGTGTTGTTAAGTAGCTTTACTTTGGCTTAAGCAGTACCAGATTTTCATTGCCTGAAAATACAGGTAAAACGATTTTTTTTAACTAAGCAATCTATCTTTGCTAACCAAAAATCTAATATGTACATACTTACAGCATTTCATGAAACCAATTGGTGTAATTTTTTAAATATAAATATATCTGTATGTACCTATTACAAGATTACAAGGAAATACTTAAATGAAACTAAGTTTTTCGGATAACTTTATTCCGTGGAAAAGAAAACCTTCTTACATCTATTAGTCGATTAAAATCTTTGTTTTTTCTTATGTTTATCTAATCTTATCTTCTAAGTATTTATTCCTTAATAGACACCTACTAATAACATCATATTTTTACATAACACCATGTTTTTTGTCGCCGTATATTTGCTTAAATTTTTATCCCACATTAATAATTTTATCATTATTCTTCTTTAGACAAATCAACGCTTTTGCTTCAAAAGAGTTGCTAAAATACATTTATAAATGCAGATACTTTATTCTCTAATCAATTAATAATTGGGAATAATATATTTTAATCTGAACATTAAACATTACCAAATTCTAATACTACAAAATAATATTTACACGATTAAAATTCATCCTGTTCATCATTCATAATATTTACTTTCTTATATATGTAGTTAATTTAAAAAAATGTGGCAATACTTAGAATTTTTTAGGAATCAATAACTTATCAGTTCTATGTCTGTGTCAACTAATTAATAACAATTAGACTAGTCTGTCTCAGTCAGCTGAGAAGTGCATTTTAGGGGCGGTAGGGGGAGATACTGGTAGAGGGAATATTGATCTCCGCCCTGTCGAGCCAGCGTCTGACCGAGCATGACCCCTGATACTAGTGTACGCCATTACCTGCTCAGCTCTTCGATTGAAGTGATATTTATCACTTTCAGTAAACACTATTATGGTACCAACATAGCCACTAACTTGTCATACTACACTTTGGTAGACAACCAGATTATTTTCTTTGTTTACGAAGCATTAGCGATAAAAGAACTTTACTGCTGAGTCAACGTCTAAAGTGATTCTATAGTTCTAAGCATAAACTTAAAGAATGTTCGGATCTTAAAGCGGACTGTAAAAATAATAAATATAATTTTGAGATTCCATTCCTGACAAAGTTTTAGTTATCTGAAATATACCAATCTTGTCTCAACTTCAATAGCAAAAATAAATAGTGAAATATTATCCCAATATTTAAAATATGCATTTTAAAGCAGTCTCCAATCTCCATCTGCCGTGTATTTCTTGTCTATTTGGTACAAAATTTGCAACGGTCTGTTTTCATTTCAAGAACTTCGAATCGAAAGACTAGACAAGAAATTTAATTTTAACTTATATAAGAATTCATTATCATACACGTCCTTTGAACTCTGTTTATTATTTGTGGATTTATAAAGAAATCCACGAAATTGACATTAATAGGCTATATTTTTATCATAAAATATATTCAAATTGACATAGAAATAAGTGATTTCAATTATATATCGCCCATTTATATAAGTACATAATACAAAAACAAACTCTTAATAAATTAAATCTGAGAACGTAAAACGGCATATCAAAACAATCTATAAGAAGTTTTTAAGAAATATCTGAATGGAGTATATACAAACGTTTTCATATACCTATTTCATAGAGTTTACAATGTTATTAATTCAAAAATCATAGATGAAATTATTATAAGTAACGATAAAATGAATTTTACATCGGAACTTACTGTTAAATTATTATTGCAACGTATTAAAATTATAAATCGATGTTATGGAGATATTAAACAAGGGAAACATCAGTAAAGTAGCTAACCTTAAAGCAGCAATCAAATCAATCTCTTCAATCAAGAGTTTCTTTAATCGACAATGACTCGAACCTTTACTCTAAAAATTACGCATGTAACCGGAAAATTATAAATGTCTTAATACACGTTACACAGAATTATGAAAAATAAACTAACATTATTTACATATATACTTAGTTAAAAGTTAAAACCCCTTTTCAAACCAAAAATACAAACATTCATAAAATTCGAACTGTATCGAATAGGTACATAAGTTCTGATCAATTTAAAAGTACTTATTAAATTATTTTACATCTACAGCACCATTAAGGCAAAAAACCTTTTCATTAAATTTTGCTTTTATGAGCCAGTGCGGTAAATTCGTATTACGAGATGTACTCATCCAAATTACCGGATCCTAATTGCACCGGTAGACCTACATATACAAGGGTAATAAACTTGATGTTTTTTTGTCGGCTACTATTTAAATACTGGATCTCCTTATTTAAAAAACATATATATTAATGAAAGTAAAATCGTGACTGTTGTTTAATGACATCTTTAATAATATATATGATATAAAAATAATTAATCCTTTTACAAAAGATTTTATTCAAATAGATAAGCTAGCCGCAGAATCTGTATTTAAACTATATGCTAGACGCGAAACCTATTGGCGAAGCCAGCAAAGTCACATTCAGTAAACTGCTCGTAACAGAGACTGTCGTCTCACGGAAGCGTCGAAATTGTCGTGCTTATACTAAGTGTAAAAAATTCGAAATATTTGAATTGTGTTAATCATTTGCTTTTAAATATTAGTTAATAGTGCATATTAAAACATTTCTTTTTCAAACGTGGCAATAACACGCGTCGTATGTCATTTAAAACCAATATTTAATTACCTATTTCAGTACCCTGCGTCCAGTTCAAGAAAATAAAATAATTGAACAAATGGATTAAATTCACATTTTATATATTCTTCATTCATAAAAATCAGGCAAATAATTATAAACCAAAATATTTAAATCGTTATCCTATAATGGAGGACAATATTAACAAACCATATAAAATATGTGATATGAATCGTGAAAAGAAAAAGGGAATAGTAGCATCATCGTTAGAGGACTTAATTGGAAAAGTACCAGAAAAATTAGGATTGCCTCCTGAAAATTTGACAGTCGTTCTGGAGTGTGACGGTACCGAAGTGGATGATGAGGAATATTTTTCAACCTTAGATCCGGATACTGCGCTTATGATTTTACATGGAGAAGAAAAGTGGTCACCCAATATGCCTAAGTGTCAAGTTTCTTTGGATCAGACTGATGAAGTAAGTCTGGGAGAAAAAGGCCAGGTTGCTAGTCTTGTAGGTCGCTTGCAGCACAATCTTTGCCATATTTCACTTCTGGGAGGCCAGGATTTGGAATTGCTTTCTGATATGGACCCTGACAGTCTGGCTGACATTGTAACAGACAGGGATAACAGGATAATTCTAGAGCACATTAAGGAAGCTTCTGGAAGGTAAATTTTCATTATTTTCTTCTTAATACTTGATATTTTTCGATACAATCTGGATATCTAATTTTTTCCACCTAATAAATTTTTTTAATAATGTAAGATTGAATCTACAATCCTGTTATGAATATTATTATATACAAATAACCTGATAAAACTCTTAATATTGAAAGTTGGGTGAATATAAACAAATTGTTTCAATTACAGAATACTGCTAGAGAAACGCCAAGCTCAGGATGCAATGGAGTTGTTAAAGCTATACCATCAGAGTGTTGCTAATGGTGCTGAAGATGTATCTCCTCCAAGCCAGGAAACAGTGTAAATGAGAGAAAAAAATCTACAGTGTCCTAACTTAACCCTCAATAATTCTTTTTAGGGATGGCCCATCTCAAAAGTTTACAATGATAGCAATAGCAACTCCACTAAATAAAAAAATACTTACCGCTATTATAATGAACATTTACTGTATATGCTCAATATCCATTAAAAGTATTATTAAATTTAAGCTAACCTTACATTCATAAACTATTAAAATACACCAATTTAATGAGGCCTTCTAAAGGGATTTTGGATAGCTAATAAATAATTTGAATTGATATACCAATATGCTTATTGTATTAAAGTTATGTTACAATTATTTATTAACAAGCATAAGTAATTTGTATGTCATCTTCCAATAACAACTGAATGTATTTTAACTAGGTGTTTTATAGTGTCTACATTTGTTTACAGCTAAATGTTTGAAGGTAGATTTTAGGTACATAAATAATAAGGATCTAATCTTATGAATATGAGCTAAAATCGAATGATTAGTAACAATGGCATTCTAAATGGTAGGGTATCTAGTATGCAGCACTTTGTCTTTGCTGACATTTCTTTTATTTATTATGGAAAGCAATTGTTGATCTTTTACATTTCTAGATGGACAGTCGTCAAACAGCTGAGTACATTTTTATGGATACATTTATTATTATTTTTATTATCATATATGTATATTTTTCCCTTTTAGTTTTTAATTTTAATATTGTAAATGCAAAATTTTGTATCTTTTTTACATGCTGTGGAATTTTACTTAGAATTTATCTATATAGAATGGTATAGCTAGATAGAACATTAATAATGTATCTGACAATAGGTATATTAGAAGGTAATAATTGCTAATAATATTGTATTTAGTTACTCTTTTCATTTGTAAACTTTTGAGAGTCAAATTGCTACAAGGTTGATAATCAACATCAATTTAAAAGACTGATAGGTGGTAAATTTATTTTTTTTATATAGTTTTACCCCTAGAATAAGATTTATTCATTTAATTCCAAATTTGCTCAATGAATTTACAAGTATACAATAAGTTTAATTAAATTTAATTTCACTGCCGTAAATACATCTGCATCATCCCCTACATCTGTAGTATTTTGAAAAATAGGAATTGCATCGGCGGATGGTCTGAAGAAGTAAATGAGGAGACTAAATTAATAAAATCTGTAATATTAAGATTCCTAATCATTTATTTCTTTATCTATGTATACTGATGTCAAGTTGTAATTTTTTAAATGATGTGATATTAAGCACATTTTTGATATATTGCACTCAATACCATTATGCAATTTTGTCTTTAACCTTTAGGTATTATTATTATTAATAATAAAATCTATGTCCATTTTAAGCACATAAAACTGTAGCAGTATACATATATACCTATACATAGCATATTGTAGGAAGTATTTATTGGTCTGTAACATTTAGTTTTATATAATTTAAATCAAGGCATTCATATAACATCAAATTTATTCTTTCTTTTTATTACTCGGTAAAAGAGTATTGTAAATTTAGATGTACAAGCATGTAACCACTTTTCTACCATCAAATATTAACTGTAAGTATTGCGTTAGAATTAGAATGTAATTTAATAATGTAGAAAAATAGTAAATGTACCCCATAAATATGTAAATCAATTCCAGTTTAAGCCTAAATATGGAATTGAAATATGTGAATTTGTTGTTTCTTTTTGTTATTGTGCACAAATAAAGCATTTAGCAAAAGAAATTTTTTATTTCTTCCTTCTTATAGGACTTATTGTTACGCGAGAGACCTTGTTTAATGTTAAAAATCCTATTTCTATTTAATTTAAAGTTATATTGAAGGATGTTTTCTATATTTAATTTGTGGTAATAACAAAATAAAATAAGACAAGAATTGGTTTCCAAAGTTTAATAAATTACAAAGAGTAAGGAACAATAGTAATATGAGATATTACATTCAGAATTAATAAAAGTAAATGACTAAATGATTCTCACATTATTGACATATACATATAAACATCATAAAATACAATAATTATACAGCATGGATTTGAAGACACAACACAAAAAGCTTGCAATCCACAGAGATTTTAAAGGACAGTGCATGAACTCTTTTCTCTGAAAGGATTAACTTTCTGGCTGGAAAATCCGACAAGAAGACAATCTTCTTGATCGTGTTCGTTAATGTATCGAACGATATCTGCCACAGCAACGGAAACGGGAACGCGTCTGATAGCAGCCTCCCGCCTGAGCTGTTCCGTGACAGCCCGCTGCTGCTGTAAGGTCGAAACCATCATATCCATAACGGCAGTGTCTGATAGGCCTATGTTGGAAGCTAAAACCAACAACGCAGTTCGTATAAAAATGGGCGTAGCCTCAGTTTTCTGGAAATATTAAACAAGTAAATATTATGAACGTCAGATATGAAAAGCAGTTTCATCTACAACTAGATTTACCTTTTAGCTATAGCAAGCTTAAAAAGATCGTTCTTTTGTTTTAAAATTCCTACAAATTCAATATCAGATCACTCAGAAATTACCGAATATAATGTTATTGAACACTGTCTGTAGAAGGTAGATAAAACAATATTTCTTCCTCTTGTTGTTATAATCTGTACAACTACTTCATTTGTATAAATTCATGTAAAATAATAATTCAAATTTATATAAATGATTTGATTAATATATATATTTAATATAAATTCAATAATTAAACTTTTTTTAAATATTATGTTAATGTAAACTTAATTAATTAGTAAAAAATATTTGATAAATTTTTGTTATTAAAATACTTTATTACTACTACAAAACTTAACTATAAGGGACTTCATTTTTTTCAAAATATTAAACAAAGAATTTCATTGCTACCATAATTACAAATTAATTTTTTTACTTAATATATAAATCAAATTTACATGTCATACAAAAATTCCAATCAAAATACTATGTTAATATTACAAATCGTTAATTCATTAGCTAAATATTTTTAAACCTTTTATATTCGTTGTAAAAATATTATATATCTTTTTTACGTTTATTCTCTAGACATTATGACAATTGACATCCTTTGATGGACGATATTGAGACCGCTTTTGAAATCTTACTACCAATTCTATTTATAAAATAGAATAAAGAAGCATAGTAGAAATAGCGGTGAATTTTATTTTTTATATATTTTTCTTATTATCAAGTACCTACTGTACCATAACATAGTTAATATATTTTTTTCTTCCAGATCATATCATAATTTAAGTTTAAAAGAATTTATTATGGAAGGCGATAAGGCAGATGAAACAAAATCTTTTTCGGGAATTCCTGAAGCAGTGTTTGTGGTATGTAATTATAATTCTTTGTCCGTAAATTATTCTAGTCATTGAAAACATTGAATTTTTTAAGTCATTGGTATAAGTTAGGTTAGGTAGTACATCTGCTGTAGATATTGAAGAAAATATGAAAAATACAATATCAAACTATCTAAAATGTACGTCACTATAATAAGATATGGAAAATAAAAATAAATTAATAATTTAAAATTTTGTAATACATACCAGTAGGTTATAAAAGTGAAAATTATAATTACTATATGAACTATATGTATATATTTTTTAGGACAATGTGGATGAATTTATGAACTTACCAGAAAACTCTGGTGGTGTTGAAAAAGTATTAAGACAGTTGGATGAGCAACATGGAAAATATAAATTTATGGAATATACACTCAATACAAAGAGAAGGCGTCTTCGGCAGCAAATCCCAGACCTGGCCAGATCACTAGATGTGATTGAAAAGTTAAGGTCACAAAAAGAAGATATGGACACACAGTTCCTTCTCAGTGATCAAGTTTTTGTAAAGGTATAATTTTATTTATTTTGTACTAGCTTTCCGCCCGCAGCTTTGCCCCCATGGAGTTCAGTTATATCGCGTTTCCAAGAGAGCCTTTCAAAAGTCTGGGATAAGAACTATCCTATGTTCTTTCTCAAGGTCAACCCTGTCTCTGTATCAAATTTCATTAAAATCGGTTCAGTGGTTTAGGTGTGAAAGCGTAACCGACAGACAGACAGACAGAGCTACTTTCGCATTTATAATATTAGTAGGATAGTATATGTAAGGGTTTCAAATAAGGCTTTTTTTTATGTTTTGATAACATGATAAGTTTTCTTAATTTTAGTCATAATAACCATTATGAAGATCAGAGTTATCAGGTATACAAAAATATTGTAATTTTACTTTATGGAAATACTAACATATATTTGTTCTTTCTTTAAAAGCAGAAATCGGTTTAAAAATTGAATAATATGTGTAAATAATTTATCATAATATTATAATTTTGGGACTGTTTCAGTGTATTAAATATAATAACTATGATTGCTAGTAAAATATTATGCTCCCTATAGAATTCAAAGCATTGAATTATTATTTTTTTACTTTAATTTAGTGACCATTATATATAACTTCCAGGCAAATATTAAACCAACAAAAACTGTTTGTTTATGGCTTGGAGCAAATGTAATGTTGGAGTATTCATTGGAAGATGCTGAAAAACTTCTCTCTACCAATATGGCTACAGCAAAGAAAAATCTTGCGTGTGTTGAACATGATTTAGATTTTTTGAGGTAAAAATTAATTACTTTCAGTATTTTTTTACTATATGTTATAAATATTGTGATAAAATCTGTAATATTTTTTTCTTTTTTCAGAGATCAATGGACAACAACAGAAGTCAATATGGCCAGAGTTTACAATTGGGATGTCAAGAGGCGTCAGGCTGCTAAAGGCGCTTGTTGATTAAAATTGCTTTAATAATTATTATAAATAAATGCATTAATTGTATCTCTTAACTAATAGTTCACAAATCATATTATTTTATCCAATTAATTTTAATGATTTCAAAATTTTAAGACTTGTAATCTCTACAAAATTATTACATATTAATATTTTCTTAAAGTATAAATATTGAATGAGCAAAGTTATGCATTAAAATTTTTCCGATTCAATTCAGAATACAGGCATTACTAATATTTTTGCAATTTGTCGTTAATTTATAAATTCTGTGTTTCTTTTTTCACACTATGTCAGAAAATACAACCATTTTCACTATTCTTTATTTTATTATAATATAATATTACACCTTAGACCCTGTAACTGTAATGAACATATTAAAATTTTAAAACTTTACATTTACTCACTTTTTTCAATTCTTTGAATCTTTCCAAGAGTTGTCCTTCTTAAGCTAATTGTAAACATTACATGATTTTAAGCTAAAAAGTGATTTGTGTGATCATATGTATGTAGAAAAGTAACTGATTTATTTTCTTTAAGAGTTATTTACACCAAAACATACAATTTATTTAATCTCAAAAGTTAAAAAACAAGAAGTTATTTCTGAATGAAGTTTACAAGTTGTATACTTTAATTATGGTGACATGACTGGTACTGCTTAAGAGTGTAGAATCTAGATTCACAATTTTGTCCGCTGGACAATGTTTTTTTCGTTAATTTTTAATTTATTAGTTGTTGTTTTATTACAAACGTTTTTTTTCGACATTAGATTTGACAACTAACTAATGAAACGGGACTCTCTGATTGGTCGGTAAACTGGTCATATAATTTTTTCGCCATTTTATTATTATTAAATATTGTCATTTGTCTTTCTAACTTCTAAGAACAAGTGAATAGGTTTTAATTAGTTTATTAGTAAATAGTGGATTAATTTATTAACAGAGGATTAATTTATTAACAGTTGATTAATTTATTAACAGTTGATTAATTTATTAACAGTTGATTAATTTATTAACAGAGGATTAATTTATTAACAGTTGATTAATTTATTAACAGTTGATTAATTTATTAACAGTTGATTAATTTATTAACAGTTGATTAATGTATTAACAGTTGATTAATTTATTAACAGAGGATTAATTTAGTAACAGTGGATTCATTTATTAACAGTTGATTAATTTATTAACAGTTGATTAATTTATTAACAGTTGATTAATTTATTAACAGTGGATTTACTAACAGTTGATTAATTTATTAACAGTGGATTAATTTATTAACAGTGGATTAATTTATTAACAGTGGATTTACTAACAGTTGATTAATTTATTAACAGTGGATTAATTTATTAACAGTGGATTTACTAACAGTTGATTAATTTAGTAACAGTGGATTAATTTATTAACAGTTGATTAATTTATTAACAGTTGATTAATTTATTAATTGTTGATTAATTTATTAACAGTGGATTAATTTATTAACAGAGGATTAATTTAGTAACAGTGGATTAATTTATTAACAGTTGATTAATTTATTAACAGTTGATTAATTTATTAACAGAGGATTAATTTAGTAACAGTGGATTAATTTATTAACAGTTGATTAATTTATTAACAGTGGATTTACTAACAGTTGATTTATTTAGTAACAGTGGATTAATTTATTAACAGTTGATTAATTTATTAACAGTGGATTAATTTATTAACAGTGGATTTACTTACAGTTGATTAATTTATTAACAGTGGATTAATTTATTAACAGTGGATTTACTAACAGTTGATTAATTTATTAACAGTTGATTAATTTATTAACAGTTGATTAATTTATTAACAGTTGATTAATTTATTAACAGAGGATTAATTTAGTAACAGTGGATTCATTTATTAACAGTTGATTAATTTATTAACAGTTGATTAATTTATTAACAGTGGATTTACTAACAGTTGATTAATTTATTAACAGTGGATTAATTTATTAATAGTGGATTAATTTATTAACAGTGGATTTACTAACAGTTGATTAATTTATTAACAGTGGATTAATTTATTAACAGTGGATTTACTAACAGTTGATTAATTTAGTAACAGTGGATTAATTTATTAACAGTTGATTAATTTATTAACAGTTGATTAATTTATTAACAGTTGATTAATTTATTAACAGTTGATTAATTTATTAACAGTTGATTAATTTATTAACAGTTGACTAATTTATTAACAGTTGATTAATTTATTAACAGTTGATTAATTTATTAACAGTGGATTTACTAACAGTTGATTAATTTATTAACAGTGGATTAATTTATTAACAGTGGATTAATTTATTAACAGTGGATTAATTTATTAACAGTGGATTTACTAACAGTTGATTAATTTAGTAACAGTGGATTAATTTATTAACAGTTGATTAATTTATTAACAGTTGATTAATTTATTAACAGTTGATTAATTTATTAACAGTGGATTAATTTATTAACAGAGGATTAATTTAGTAACAGTGGATTAGATTATTAACAGTTGATTAATTTATTAACAGAGGATTAATTTAGTAACAGTGGATTAATTTATTAACAGTTGATTAATTTATTAACAGTGGATTTACTAACAGTTGATTTATTTAGTAACAGTGGATTAATTTATTAACAGTTGATTAATTTATTAACAGTGGATTAATTTATTAACAGTGGATTTACTTACAGTTGATTAATTTATTAACAGTGGATTAATTTATTAACAGTGGATTAATTTATTAACAGTTGATTAATTTATTAACAGTTGATTAATTTATTAACAGTTGATTAATTTATTAACAAAGGATTAATTTATTAACAGTGGATTTACTAACAGTTGATTAATTTAGTAACAGTGGATTAATTTATTAACAGTTGATTAATTTATTAACAGTTGATTAATTTATTAACAGTTGATTAATTTATTAACAGTGGATTTACTAACAGTTGATTAATTTAGTAACAGTGGATTAATTTATTAACAGTTGATTAATTTATTAACAGTTGATTAATTTATTAACAGTTGATTAATTTATTAACAGTTGATTAATTTATTAACAGTTGATTAATTTATTAACAGTTGATTTATTAACAGTTGATTAATTTATTAACAGTGGATTTACTAACAGTTGATTATTTTATTAACAGTGGATTAATTTATTAACAGTGGATTTACTAACAGTTGATTAATTAAGTAACAGTGGATTAATTTATTAACAGTTGATTAATTTATTAACAGTGGATTAATTTATTAACAGTTGATTAATTTATTAACAGTGGATTAATTTTTTAACAGTTGATTAATTTATTAACAGTGGATTAATTTATTAACAGTTGATTAATTTATTAACAGTGGATTTACTAACAGTTGATTAATTTATTAACAGGTGATTAATTTATTAACAGTTGATTAATTTATTAACAGTTGATTAATTTATTAACAGTGGATTAATTTATTAACAGTGGATTTACTAACAGTTGATTTATTTATTAACAGTTGATTAATTTATTAACAGTGGATTTACTAACAGTTTATTAATTTACTAACAGTTGATTAATTTATTAACAGTTGATTAATTTACTAACAGTTGATTAATTTATTAACAGTGGATTTACTAACAGTTGATTAATTTATTAACAGTTGATTAATTTATTAACAGTTGATTAATTTATTAACAGTGGATTTACTAACAGTTGATTAATTTATTAATAGTGGATTAATTTATTAACAGAGGATTAATTTATTAACAGTTGATTAATTTATTAACAGCGGATTAATTTATTAACGATAATAATGAAAGTTAGAGAATGATAAATAATCATTGGGACTCGACACTAGAAGAGGCTCGATATTGTAGATCAGCAGCTAAGGTGAGAGATCTTTTGCCATTCTCATAGCGACGTGTGGTCTCTCAAATCCTCAGATATTATGGGAAAAGTCCCAAAATGATATGTCTGACTATATTTTGAACAGACTACAACAAAATAATCCCAATGTCACATATTATGATTTAGTTTATAACGAGGCGCTAACCAAGATTCAAGACCAAGTGATGGCTATATCTGGGAAGACGTTATCAGATTTTGGAATGAACCGGCCACAAGGAATCGGAGAAGTCAATAGTGATTTAATAAGAGAACTGGACTACAATGTCTCTTCTTTACAGCAACAAATATCATAGTCTGTTCCTCGATTGAACACGGAACAAAAATTAGTTTATGATATTGTTGTGCAAATAATCAATAATGGTGAGGGTGGATTGTTTTTCTTAGATGCGCCAGGAGGCACTAGGAAAACTATTCAATAAATTTACTTTTAGCCCAAATCCGAAAAGACAAAGGAATAGCTGTTGCCGTAGCTTCCTCTGGGATTGCGGCGACGGTGCTCGATGGAGGCCGCATGGCACATTCAGTACTTAAACTCCCATTAAATTCCAGTTTGTAACATTACAAAAAACAGCGATAGAAAGCGATCGAAAACAGCGAATGGGCAGATAGCTGCTTGCCATCTTTTCTATGTTCGGAGCCTCAGTGACCCTTATCCCTTACGTAGGCGTGAACAAAAAATGGGGGTCCACGAAAATTTATCTGCTTTTGATAGTAAAGAGCAAAAATGTAAGCATAGTTTTTATAAGGGCCTACCTACATTGTTTTAAGTACCTAACTAAGCAGATAATATTTTAATAAGGCAAGCGACTGTTACTTGTCCAAACTTGCGTATTCGATATTACGTACAATTTCGTGTACAGACTTGCAAAGCGCTATCCGCCCGACAATGCTTAATGCTTGTTCAGACATGAACTTGATCACCATTCACCACTATAAATACTTGATGCCAAAGGCAAACACTCATTCATTTGTTTCCAAAATTTTATTTTACCTATCGGAATATAGAGACAGAACTCAGAAGTGACACAATTTTTATTTTTTGGCGACTTTAAGAATGTGGTAGAAATGTAGCAGCAGGGGGTCCACCGAAACCAGTAAAATTTTGAAAGTGGTCCACGAGAAAAATAAGTTTGGGGACTACTGGTTTAGATCGTCAAGGTAATTATTCAAAATATGGTACCTTTGGGCAGTGGCGGCGTAAGGCGTGGGCGACGTGGGCCATAGCCTACGGCCTCGCGGTACAAGGGGCCTCGCGCCTCAAAAATTTTTAAAGCGAGAATTTAAAAAAATCTTCTTCTTCTTCCTGGCAATTTCCCAGCTATTACCAGGGTCTGCGTTACATGTTGTGAATAGTTTTGGCTATTTGTTTTTACCCTTTTTGGGAATCAGAATTAATTAAACCTATTTTGATAAGAATAGTGTATTCAATGTTATAATAATATTTAACGAATAAACAGATAGTGTTTAAGTATATTGATTTCCCCGAAAACAGTGACGTTTTTTAATTGTTTTTGATTTCTTTGTGATTTGAAATACATCGGTACCTGTACTCGTCTATCTAGCTACTTAGCTGAAAATTGGTAGGGAGGTAGTTTAGAGCCAGGAAAATTACATAGGATACTTTTTATCCCGTTCGACAGCATTCCCGTGTGACTTGAAATGAAACGTCAGTCCCTATAAAACGTGGAATAACAAAAAATAATTAGACTTGGAATAACAAAACGCAATTGACAGCTATGTAATTGACGTATAATGACAGATATGTAATAACGTATGGATGACAATTTGCTATTTGAAAGAAATTTATACATGTATATAAAAATGAATTGCTCTTCTTGAGTCTCGAATATATATCTCTGTTTTAAAACTCGAGAACGGCTGATCGGATTTATCTTATCTTAGTCTTGAAATGTTCGTGGGGTTCAGGGAAGGTTTAAAAGCTGAAAAAAATTGATTCATTCGGGAAAACCCTAAAAAAGGCCCTTTTCGATTTCCCATACAAACGGTTTTTTTTGACATTAGATTTGACAACTAACTAATATGTCAATCATTCTGTCGCACTTCAAAACACGGAGATTTATGGCTTACAGGTAAACTCCAAAAATAGAAATAAAAAAACATAACAGATATTTCCTGATTATAGAGCGATACGAAGTTTGCTGGGTCTTCTAGTTTTATATAGAGTAAGAAATATTTAATTGGTAATAACTAATAAATATGTAACGCAGTAAGTAATTACTTTAATATAAAATACGCTTTATAATGTCTTTTGAAGGAAACCAAAGCTTTAAGGGTAAAAAACGTGTCTCCGTTTAAGTTTTTAAAACTAGCAGGTAGTAAGAGCTTCAAGTTGCCATAGAATAGGGCTTCGCGAAATTTGTCTTGCCCACATTAAATTTAGGTCTTGCTCCGCCACTGCCTTTGGGGCATATTATTTGATATAGAGGACTAAAATATGTCGAGTATACAGTTCTAATCAATCAACCTAGTATATAGTTATTTTGTTTATTTAGTTTAGGACTTAGGTCATAACTGAAAGAAAAATAATTTGTGGTATTTCGTTCTTTGCATGTTAAGTCAAACAAAAAACTAAAGAACCAGACATCGATTAGTTCGGGTCATTTACATCAGCCTTGTAAGTTATATGTGTCCCATAAGGTACAATACAATATATTAGATTTTATTCTAGTGGTCGATGTAGGTGAAGAACATTTAAATGATCCAAAAAAAGTTTTAACACACCCATGAAAAAGTATCAAGTATGATTTAGTAACAATAATTTAATTATAAACTAACTATTTGGAGATCTTAGCAATTACGTATGCGAGTATTTTTAATGATAATATTTTTATTCAATAATCAGTAGCTTAATTAGTTATATTTAGTCTGTGGGTGACCATGACAGGTAAATGTTGACACGTCGTCCTCCGTCACCTACAATATTTATATTTAGTTTTTATTAAAGAAAAAATAGGCATCGGACTCACGGGTACTTTCTTTTGAGTTTTTGTATATTAATAATTTAAATAAATATGTAGTTGTAAGTCCATTGTAAACATCCAAATCGTGACGCTTTCTTGTGGCAAAGATTTTTTTCGCATAGAAGAAATTTTATAGTCATAATTTAATTCAAACGTATCCATTTTTCTAGACTGTATGAATAAAAAGTACAACTTTTCCACAGAATAAAGATTCTTACTAAAATGGCTCCTTCCACTGATTGGGATGAAATAAAACGTTTAGCAGCAGATTTTCAAAAAGCTCAATTGAGCACAACAGCTCAAAGGTATTAACTTAATTCTATATTTTTCGCTAACTATCCATTTAACCGTTAATATATATATTTTTTTACCTTTTTCTATTACAGACTTTCAGAGCGGAATTGTATTGAAATTGTGTCCAAACTAATAGAACTAAAGTTAATAGATGTTATTTTTACAATTGATGGAAAAGAGTATTTAACACCACAGCAATTAATAAGGGAAATAAAAGATGAATTATATGTTCGTGGGGGTAGAGTTAATACAGTAGACCTTGCTAAAGAGTTGAATGTTGATCTAAACCAGATTAACTTAAATGTGACTGAAATAATCAAAGGAAAAGAAGTGCAATTAGTTTCAGGATCTTTAATTGCTCACTATTATTTGGAAAAAATAGCCAGAGAGATAAATGAGAAGCTACAATTACAGGGTCAAATTTCTGTTGGTGATTTGACATTGCAATATGACTTGCCAGCAGATCTCTTACAGCATGGTATATTGGAAAAATATTTGGGTAAAATTATTAATGGAAGGCAAGACCCTTCTGATCCAAGAGTGTTCTATACAGAAGAATATATAAACAGGACTAAAGCTAAGATACGAGGAGCTTTAATGGGTCTCTTAAAACCCACACCTATTAATTTAATTTTAAGCCATTGTAATTTAACAGAAAGGCTATTTATGTATTTGTTTGATCAGTTAAATGCTCCCGGGGTTCTAACCGGAAGACAGTCGGGGGCTCTTTATGTTCCATCTTGTTATACGAAATCTCAAAATGATTGGGTTATAAATTTTTTCAAACAAAACAATTACTTGGAGTATGACGCTTTAACACGCTTGGGTATATCCGATCCAAAGGGTTATGTTAAGAGAGTTCTATCAAATGAGAATATCACATTTTTAAGCAGTTGCACCATTGGTTCTCAAATAAAACAGCAATTGGAAACTGCTTTAGAAGAATGCATTGCCTCAAAGAGTTATCTTGATGTAGTATCTTTATTACCGTCTGTATTGTCAGATGAAGATATTGAAAATGTACTTGATTCCCTTCTGAAAAATAACAGCTCCACTATGTTATTTGATAAAACAGGTACTTTTTTCACCATTTAATATAAAATATAACATATAAATTATGTATTTTGAATATTATTATATTAATATTTCTACTTTTACCACAGTTTTCAGCAATCAGTATATTGAAAATCTTAAACAGGCCTGTTTGCCATTAGCCCAAAAAAATGCAGAGTCTGTGGTTAAATCTGGCAAATACCAACAGTTTTATTTGGAGAAACAGCTAGTTAAAAATGAGGCACAGCAGAGCCATGTGGATCATAAAGCTGAAAGGCGTGAAGAACGTAGGAAGAAGGCCAGTTCAGGGAAAGGAGGTGGTGGAACACAGGGCAGAGAAACCAAAACAAAGGCAGTAAAAAAACATCCGAGATCCAAGCAAGTTGTCCAAGATTCTGATTCCGATGAAGCACCAAGTGCAAAGAAAACACCAAGTCAACTTGAGATAGTAAAAGTTGAAGACATTGAGAATATAATTAAAGAACCACTTGAAAATGAAGGTCTTGATGACTTGGTAACCCCAATCTCTGAATATATTCAAGGGTACTTCCACTTGTTTTTTATATTTTATTCACCACTTAACTCTCTTATTGGTTTATAATTCTAATGTAATTTTTTTTGTTTTAATTCACAGACATCTCAATCAAACGGCTTTGGCAATAGCTAAAGATCTCTCTGAAAAGTTACTCCAGGATGCCAATCAGAACAGGAAACAGACTCATTCTTCTGCTCAAGATAAAATCAATATTCTTGTCAATGATATAAAGTTATATGAAAAGGGGTTAAAATTGTTTCCTAGCGACCAACAGGTGCAGTTTATAAAATATCTCTTGAAATCTTTTGGTGGTGATGTTCTATCAGAATTTTGCAAGTATGCAGCAAACCAGAGCAATCTTTCTGTACCCGTGGATAATTTATCAGTGGAACAGAGGAATAAAATTATAAATGATTTACCAGATGATTATATGAAGCCAATTCGTGCACTTAATACCACCTTGTCTGAGCACAATATGGAACAGTTTTACCAAGCAGTTGATGTGTGCTTGGCTGAATGTGGTATGATTTTGAAAAAGGTTGATAAGAAGAAAGACAGGTAAACATACGAATATAATTATAACACAATTACAACATTTTTATTAAAAGTCATGTATATTATAAATACTTTTTTGATAAAGAAATATTCACATAGATACAATCTTAACCAAGTCATCAAAATTTGATTATTCTGAAGTAACTATGAAATTGAAACACCGATTTTTAAAAATATATAAGGATGTATAATATTTAATAAAATGTTTTCAGACTTCTGGTTCAGAACCATAGAGAAAAATTGATTTCTGAAATAGAAAACTGTGATGAGCCTGCATTGGTACTACATCTTGTGGTATTAGTTTTGTTTACTGTGTTGTCTCAGAACATGCTACATGCATCTGGAAGGCAGGTCCCCTTGATAATAGCTTTCTTGAAATCACAACTGAAGGATGAAGATTTCGATAAAGTTCAGAAATATCATGGTAATAAATTTGTGTAATATCTGTTTAAATTTTAATATATTAGTACAATATTTCGTCTTTTTAGAACCTATGAAGTAATTGTTCCCAAAAAATGTATAGAATAGGAATTCAAGAAGACAAAATTTACAAAGTAGTTATAATCCCTTAATATATCTTAAAAATAATTTGTTTATAGAAATTACTTATTTTTATACATAGATAGCCCTTTTTTAAATCTAAGTATGTAATATCTTTTTTTTTCAGAATTGGTTGCAAAGTATTTAACTGCTGCAGATGATGAAAAAGAGACAATTGAAGAAAAACTAAGGGAAGATTTACCTCTTCTGAAGTCATTAGTTGCAGAAGTAAAAAAATATAAGTGAAAATATACAAGGAAGTTAGAGTTTGTAATATAACACCGTCTGTTAAATAAAAAATATTTTTATTAAATCGATTAGTTACATATTTTTACTTCAAAAATTACTGACCCGTATTCCGGTTTTTCTTGTATCAGTGAGTGTAAAGTTTCTGTATATTATTGTTTGAAAAAGTAAAAGAGCTGTTAAAATAACGAGTAGTGTCTAAAAATCACATACTAATTATACTTGTTAATTTAATAACTCCTGTTAAAATTCAATAGCAACATCATTGTGCACCGTGATTGCTCATATTATTAATCTTTCTGTATTATTTTATGTCTACCGACGCAGTTTCTTTTTTGTTATTCACTCTCTTAAGATTACGCCCTTCAAGTGAATATACTGACCTCAAGCTTAACTCCGTTTTTTTATTTAAATACACCTGAATTCATGGATATGGTCCTTCGAGCCGGATATTAAATCTTAAAAATAACCAGCACAATAAAGGGATACTGATTTCTTCGTGGAAAAATAAGTGAAATCACAACAAACGTCGGATCACAGAACAAAGGATTTGGATGTATGACGTGGTTTATGGAATATTGCAGTATATGGCTATTTCAGTGCTTAATTTCCACCCAGTACTCTTATATTCAGGTAGTATTTAAGGATTTAAGACTTATATAAAGGTCAGTACATATCAATTAACTTTATCTTATTATTTAATTGTATTTAAATAGAAAGGTCCTTCCATTATACTTTGTGATTGTTTTAACTAAAAAATTATTTACTTTTCTTTGTTAGTACCCGATTAACCTAAATATAATTCTCATTACTAAAGGTAAATTGAATTATATTAATTTTATTCACTTGCAAAGTTTGATAAGTAATACTTTGTATGTATAGTTTATACTTTGTACTTTGTATGTATAGTTTCTTATCAAATATTTTAAATGTAATGAGAAGAATATGTTTAGTAAACTTAATTGATATTAGATGCAGTGATTGTGTTGATTATAGAAAATATATTTAAGTCGAATCATTAATTTTGTCTTTGATTGTATATTTAGAAATTAATAACACTTACATTTATTTGTCTTTTGAGCATATAACTACTACAATTTGTTTTATTGTAAAGTTTATATTAAATTACAATTAACTTAACCTTGGAAAGTATTGTTTAAATTTATATTTAATATTTTGAATTGTATACATTCCAGGATTTGACACTTGCTTTACATAATGTCGGAAAGAGAAGAAAGAGATCTTATTAAAAGGCGTGCAACCTATAAAGGCCGGCTCACATTATTTGGAAATTACTTAAACAATCTAGATGGGTCAGTCAGCCAGTCTCAGGTAAAAGAACTTCAATTACGTATTAATAAAATTTGCAGCATGTTTGAACAATATGATGAAGTACAGTGTAGGTTGGAATGTGCAACTGAAGACATGGAAAGTCAATTATTGGAAAGAAATGATTTCGAATCTCTGTATTATAAATTAATGGCTAAAGCCCAGGATTTAGTTGCTCATTCTACAAGATTAGGTGACTCGAGTTCTGACAGTAATAAAAATACTATGAAGCTTAATAATAACAATAATCTTGTTAAATTACCAACTATACAATTGCCTAAGTTTAGCGGTTCCTATGATAACTGGCTAGAGTTCCATGATACTTTTTCTAGCCTTATTCACTCTAACGACGCAATTGACAACATTAATAAATTTCATTATTTGAGAGCGTCACTAGAGGGCTCTGCCGCCTTAGTTATACAGTCCATTGAATTTTCAGCGAAGACTTACCCTGTTGCTTGGAAAATATTATGCGAAAGGTTTGATAATAAACGATTACTCATTCAAAATCACGTGACGGCATTATTCAACTTTGATTTAATTACTAAAGAGTCATCCGTGTCTATTAAGCGTTTAATTGATCAAATAAATAAAAATTTAAGAGCTTTAGATTCTCTAGGTGAACCGACTAAACACTGGGATACATTGTTGATACATATTATAATACAAAAATTAGATACTAAAACGTATCGCGAATGGGAGGAACTTAAAAGCCGTCTTGGTAAGGGTGAACCTCTTACACTAGACGTATTTATAAATTTTTTGCGTAATCGTGCTGATTTGCTAGAGGCCTTAGAGTTATCGCAAAGTAGTAATCATTCTCACCAGTCTATTAAACGGAACACGAAATTTAAAAGCATGGTTTCTATTGCAAGTCTAAGTCAGGCTCATCATAAATCTCCGATAGCCTCATCTACACCTAAACCCTGCGTTAAATGTAAAGGTGAGCATCCGCTTAAAAATTGTCCGCAGTTTTTAGGTCTTAATAATGAACAGCGATTAAAACTCTTAGCTAACTATAAAATATGTTACAATTGTTTACATGTTGGTCACTATGCAAACCAATGCAAAAAGCCCCGGTTGTAGGATATGTAAACGTCGGCATAACACGCTTATCCATGTATCAGGTTCGAAGTCGCAATCACCAGTTAATGCTGGATCATTAAACACGGATAAGAGTGATTCGAACAATATGAATTCTACTTCCAGATCAAATATTTCTTTATCGGCATGTTTGAAAAATTCAAACCAAGGTAATCATGATGTGCTATTATCAACAGCTCTTGTTAAGTTGTATGACTCCAGAAATCAGGAATATATTGCTCGTGCGTTACTTGATTCCGGAAGTACATCATGTCTTATTACAGAAAATATGTGTAATAAATTAAACTTACCTTATCATAATGTCGATCGTTCTGTAACAGGAATAAATAATTGCACTCTGACAATAGGTAAAATGTGTCGTGTGCAAATGAAATCTTTAAAAAATAATTATTTTACAAATGTTACTTGTTTTGTTTTACCATCGATCATAAGCAAAGTGCCTTATAGTCATTTAGGCATTTCGATGTTAGGTATCGAATCTAATATTAATTTAGCTGATCCTAAATTTTATGCACCCGGAGATATTGATTTAATCATTGGTGCTGACCTCTTTTGGGATTTATTAGGATCACAAATTGTTAAGCTAGGTAGCGGCAAACCGATACTTTTTGAAACTAAACTTGGTTGGATAGTTTCTGGACCCATGCTTAGCGGTCATGTATCGAATCGCTCGCCAGCACATATTAAATGTAATTTAGCACAAATAGAGTCTGATAATGATTTTTTAGATTCAAATGAAGTTATTCAAGAGAATTTATCACGATTTTGGCAGTTAGAGGAAATTAATTATAAATCCTCCTATTATTCTAAGGAAGAAAAAACGTGCGAAGAACATTTTATTAATAATACTTCCCGTCTTCCAGATGGCCGCTTTTGCGTGAGAAATCCTTTAAAAAATAATATTTAAACTTTAGGTGAGTCTTATCAGCGTGCTAAATATTGTTTCTTGTCTCTTGAACGTCGTCTTAAAAATAATCAGCCTTTACTAAAAACTAAATATCATGATTTTATGTTGGAATATTTATCACTAGGCCATATGTCCAAATCTAATTTAAAATCTAATGAATTTTCTTATTTTATTAATAACCTGGAGGAAATGTACAGACAGATTTCGGTACGTCCAGACGATAGACACCATCAAAGAATCATCTGGCGTAATAATACAGATGATAATTAACATATTTATGAATTAAATACGGTGACCTATGGTACAGCCAGTGCACCATTTCTAGCTGTCTGTGTTAATATTAAGGCTCTGATGTCGCTTGAGATTTGGTGGTCAGGCCCAAGCCTTTTAAGACTAGATATGTCACATTGGCCACCTCATCCCGCTAGTTCTGAAACTCTTCCAGAATTACGTTCTGTAATTAATGCAAATATATCCGTAGAAAGTAATAACAATGAATTCATTGATTTTAATAGATTTTCTAATTTATCTAGATTTAAACGTACTGTAGCTTGTTTTACGCTTTATTCGAATTTTATTAATTTATTAATTAAAGTTAATTCTTAACTGCTGAAGAATTGCATAATGCATTAAATTTTATAATCAAAGTATCACAAACACAATGTTTTCCGGAATATGAACTTTTAATAAATAATAAAAACTTAGCTGCTAAAAACGCGTTACTAAAATTAAATATATTTCACGATGATTTTAAAATTCTTCGTGTTGGAAGCCGTTGAGAACATGGTAACTTTACATTTGATAAAAAACCTTTTACTAAATTATTATTTCATTACGAGCATAGCCGATTATTACATGCAGGCCCGCAACTGTTACTGAGTACGATTAAGGAATCGTTTTGGCCAATAGGAGGTAGGAATTTGGCCAAGTTATGTTATCGACAATGTATCCGGTGTGCTCGATTAAAGCCTAAGGTAGTTTTACCTATAATGGGAAATTTACCACAACAGCGTGTGTCTGTCAGCTATCCTTTCGAAAACGTAGGAATCGATTATGCTGGTCCAATTATGATTGTTAGTCGACAAGGTCGTGGAAGTAGATTACTAAAAGCGTATATTGCAGTTTTCGTATGTTTTTCTACTAAAGCAATGCACATTGAATTAGTTGGTGATTTAACGAGCAATTGTTTCTTGTTAGCTTTGCGTAGATTTATGTCTCGTAGGGGGAAACCTAAAAATATTTACTCTGATAACGGTACTTCGTTTGTTGGCGCGTGCAACGATATTGCAAATTTTATTAAAAACAATAGTGGTGTTTTATCTGAGACTGTTGCCGATGAAGGCATCAAATTTCATTTTACTCCGGCTTATGCACCACATTATAATGGCTTGAGCGAAGCAGGTGTCAAGTCCACAAAATATCATTTACAAAGAGTACTGGGAAATTGTAATCTTACATACGAGGAGCTTTATACTGTATTGGTACAAATCGAAGCCATACTGAATTCCCGGCCACTAACTTACATGTCTACAGATCCTGCAGATTTATTGCCTCTTACACCCGGACACTTTATCATCGGACGCTCGTTGACTTCACTGCCGGAGCCAAATTACAAAGGTCAAAACATCAACAAGCTGACGCGTTATCAAAGACTTGAGCAACTCCGTCAACAGTTTTGGAAGCGATGGAGTAAGGAGTATCTCTCGGGTCTTCAGATGAGGATGAAATTGCAAAAATCCGAAAACCAACTGAAACTCAACAGTCTCGTCGTTCTGAAGGATGACAATCTACCACCGCTCAGATGGAAGTTGGGTCGAATCGTCAATGTGTACCCAGGAGCGGATGGTGTTATTCGAGTAGCAGATGTAAGGACTGCAAATGGAATTGTTCGGAGGGCATTCAGCAAAATATGCCTATTGCCACAACCTGAAGATTGTTGAAAGAGGTGCTTTCAACGCCTGGGGGCATGTCTAAAAATCACATACTAATTATACTTGTTAATTTAATAACTCCTGTTAAAATTCAATAGCAACATCATTGTGCACCGTGATTGCTCATATTATTAATCTTTCTGTATTATTTTATGTCTACCGACGCAGTTTCTTTTTTGTTATTCACTCTCTTAAGATTACGCCCTTCAAGTGAATATACTGACCTCAAGCTTAACTCCGTTTTTTTATTTAAATACACCTGAATTCATGGATAAGTAGAATGACTTCTATTACTATTATTTTAAATCATTCATAAATTTATTTAATAACGATTTTTTTTATTGTGAAGTGATTTTAGTGCGTGTTAAAAGTTTAAGTTTATGAACTGATCATAGTTGAGAATAGACATCAATAGAAATGGTCATTGTCAACTGTCATTCTGACAATAGGTAAAATCAATGTCAATTGTCAATACGTATCTTACATCGTTAGTTCATGCCGTAGTTATTGGATTGTAGACTGTTGCTCTAGTTACAACCTAGTTATTTCAAATTTCGAATTTGTTGTGTCGTAACGCAAATTATATATATTTTTTAAAATCAATAACATAAGTTTTTTGTTCAAAAATCAAATTTAATTATGATCAATTATACATTTAACGAGAGATTGAAATAAATTTAACTGGCCTTATTTATAATTAAATTCAGCGACTGTAATGAAATTTGAGAAGCAAAAATAATTGAGTTTTGTAATAAGACATTTAAAATGAATTCTTTGCCGATGGAAAAGAAAGATTTATTAGTAAAAATTAATGAAAATTCAACAAAACCAGAATCAAATGGCCAGGTAGTTAATGGAGATCCACCCGATGGGGGTTTACGGGCATACACGGTGGTTTTAGGCTCTTTTTTAACAAATGGATTAATATTCGGTGTTATAAATTCATACAGTGTTATATATACTGTCCTACAAAAGAGGTTAGAAGATGAAAATGTACCAAATTCTGAAAGCAGAGCTGGTGAGTAATAGAAATAATTTATATATTTTATTCTGGTAATTATAAATAAAAAAAGTAAAAATAATACATACATAGGAAAGAGTTTATTATGAATTTATGTATGAGAACAGACCTGATGTTACATTAATATAAGTTTGTCTGAAATTCAGCTTTAAGTTGCTTAGAAATATACTTTCCATTTTCTGTGTTATTTTAAATAAAATTATAACTTTCACTGTAAGTAGTGAAATTGTACAATAACAGACTTTTTATATTAATTTTAATTTAGTTTCAATACATAGGTGATTCTCTTTTGTGTTTAGTGGCTTGTAAAGTTTGCTTAAAGAGAAATTAATTTATATGAGAAAAAAATATTATATATGTCTTCATAAAATATATTTAAACATTTTGCTATGATATAAAACTAAAATTTTTCTTTATGGTGGCATAATGTATATATTTTTTATTGATTTTGGTTAATGAAAAAAAAGCAACAAAATTCTAATTAGACTATGTGATAAATTAATATAATAAATAATATTTTCTTTTCTTGATAGTTTGGTGTTATACATTGAAATAAAATTTTTTTTTTCATAATCATAATATGTTCTACATTTTAAGCAGTCCATTAAAGCAAAAGGCTATAAATCACATTGGTCCTATAAAAGTTTGTAAAATTTTTGTGACTTTTGATTATATGTAAAGTAGATGTCATTTGAATATTTTGTTAGTATCATCTTGTCCTCAAAGAATATATCATTGTATGTATGTTTTTATATAAATGATCAGTTACTTATTTCAGTTTAATTCATACAAAAAATATATACATATATTAAATTTCATTATTATGATATAAAACAAGGTTTTCATTGTAGTCACGTAAATTTTTATCTGCATTTTTTTGTCAGTTATCTGATATTATTAGATTAAAATAAATTTTTTAATTTATATAAAGGCTTAATTTTCGTATGAATCATATTATTTTACTTAGTTTTTATTTCGATTAGAAATATGCTAAGCATCGTAAATTATTTCGTTTAGTTTTTTCACGTCAGCAATCTGTCTGCATTTACGTGGGGCAAGTTTTACGGTGTATTAGTTTTAATATAACGTATTGACGTGTTGCAATACGATAACAAGTCAGTTTAATTTGTATTACCACAATGGTGATAAAAATTGATTTATTTCATTTTCAGTTTCGTCAAATTGATCGTCTTTATGTTAAATCCGTAACTTAAGATTAATTTTCATACTATGTTTGTATGATTTTAGACGACTTAAAAATATATAAAAATTCGACACGCCTGCTTTTTTATTAAAAGTAATAGTAAATATATAATTCAATATCATCACTAAAATTATTTATCTTAGGGTTTTAAGGTTAAGGTGCTCATATATTTAAATTAAGGGTATATTTTAACTTGTTTTTTGACATTCAAATAAAATAAACAAACATGATAAAAAAGTATAAACAAAATAATTTTTATTACTTTAATTATATGTTTAATTACGAAAGCTCATTAAAACAAGATAAAATAATATTAAGAACCTTTCATGAAAACTTTTTATTTTAATGACTTAGAACATTTATAATATAAATTAAAACTATCTTTGTTATTTGGATCTGATGCAATACAGAATTTACTATTTGTGCTAATTTCTTGTTATTTTGTTTAAAATCATTGTAGGCAGATTCTGACGCAAGTGCTGCAAGTCATTGCATGTATTGAAAATACTACAAGGGACGTGTTTAACGTAAATATTTTGCATGAAACACTATTCAATATGCAATTAGTGGGACGTTTGCTTTATAATAGTCACTTGATGAAATGGCGCCAGCAGCTATGGTCACGTGGTTGAGCGACACTCGTCAAATTACGCTTGCAGACACGATTGTATCTATTTCATTAATCAGACACACAATCATTGTCATTGGTATTTGTAATTCAGTATGTGTAACAAATGGCGAACAAGCAGATTACTTGCCCATTCGTATATTTCATATGATACCTAAAATATACCTAAAGTTAATTAGATATGACGAATTTTATAATTATCATTCATAAAACTATTTGTTTGATATAAAAAATTACGATCGAATATGAATTACTTTCATTATCTTTTATTGATCTAATTGGTATCAAATTTTATCTTATCTTACAACTGGGAAATAAATTAATAGTTGATAATTTAAAACAAGAATTTAATGTTGATAAATAAATTAACTTTGGTTTAAATCGTATTCAGCCTTCATGAAAGTGCCCTTTAAATCCATTAAAACCTTGGTAGAAATAGTAATTAAAAAAAAATCTATTTTCAGTAATCCAACAGAAATGTATGCATAAAATTAATATGACAAAGTTATATAAAATCAGAACAATATTGAGTACGTATCGATGAAACACAATTTTATAATACAAAGACGGATTTATCTCGTGGGTGCAACGGCGGCCTGATTAGATAAGAGACACATTGTGTACCACTTGCCAGTTTTATCACTATAAATTGAACTTGTATACATATTGGGTGAAATATAAACAAATCATTTGTAATTGATGGCTCGTCATGCAATCAGTCTCTTGATGTGTTATCTCTTGTAGGATCTTGACCAGGGCAAGCAAACCATTAATGTTATGACCGTAGAGTTATAATGTTCGTAATTCATTAAAATTAACATTATATTTTATATATTATAACTTTACTATTAAATTTGTTTCACTAATTATATTCACGAAGAAAATAAAAAAATACCTAAACTTTATACACTATAGCATAAAACTGAACCCAATAAAAAAATGGTATAGATATATGTAGGTAGTAGGCACACTCTAAAATTTTAAAAAAAGCCATGATTTTTTTTTAGTTCATAACAAATAGTCCCCTTAAGCATTGATTTTTTTTAATGATTAAACCAAGCAAGATTCTGGCTATTAACTATAGCAAATCTATTGAAGTGGTGATAAAATTCTTAAAATTCTTCTTTATACAATTCATACATTTCAAGATAAAATATTGTCAGTTGATAATCGAATTACTATGTTCTTTATGTAAAGATTGGTTTGTGTTATTACGAAACCATTGAAATCATAACGATGAGTGATTTAAAATTTGTCCATTAGTTCAAATTATGAATACGTTGACGTACATTCGTTTTGAATAAATGAATACAAAAGAAACGTACATATAGCATCTATAAATTATTTTAATACATAGATAATTATATATAATGGTACATGTTAATGAAAGTAATAAGGTCTTTGTAAACAATTCATTTCTCCTTTTGTATCCCTTTTATTTCTTTGAATCTTTGAATCCTTTGTTCGGGAAACGTGATGGTACTATTAAGTAATTACATTTCGCTCCATTATTTTCACGTTAACATCATTGACAGTGTTAGTCATGTCATAAAGCTATGCGAAACTTCCTAAGAGGAAACGTTAATCTTGTTAGTAATTTTCTACTAATCTTGCGAATTCTACTGTCCTATATTTTGATGACTATGATTAAAATATGACAATCGTTTATCATTTCCATTACTTATATAGTAAACAAAACGTAATAGATTTATTGCGTAAAATTTGCTTATTAAGATTTTTATTGGAATTTGTAGAGCGTCATCGCGATAATGTTTTTATCATATTGTTTCCACTTTTCTGTATCCTTAGTATAAATAGAAATACTATAATAATAGTTGTGTATTAGAAAGACGTAATTGTTTATTTTTTTTATGTTGCAGCTTTGGTTGGCGCTTTGACGATGGGAACCACCTTCCTTTTGTCACCTATCTCAGGAGTGCTTACTGGACTCATGGGACTGAGATGTACGGCTGTCTTGGGTGGAACTATTGCAGCATTTGGTTTGCTTATATCATCGTTCGCAATTGATTATGTTAATGTTCTATGTTTTACTTACGGCGTTATGTATGGCTTGGGAGCTTCTCTCGCCTACACCCCTTCACTGGCCATTCTTGGACATTACTTCAAAAAACGTTTAGGTTTCGCTAACGGCATAGTTACCATCGGTAGTTCTGTTTTCACGGTAATAATACCACCTTTAATGGAATTGATGATAGAAAAATACGGTTTACCTGGACTATTCAGAGTATTGGCTGTTATAAGTGTGGGTATAGCTCTATGTGGCTTACTTTTCAAACCGATCCCAGTCGTTATTATAGATAAACCGGCTAGAAAAAATCATAAAGCACTTTTAAAAACAATAATTAATGTTCAAATTTGGAAAAACAATAAATATAGGTATTGGGCCATGTCTATGCCTATTGCACTTTTTGGTTACTTTGTACCCTACGTACATATTAAGAAGTTTATTGAACTTAATTTTACTAATGTAAACGATAACTTACCCCTTCAATGCATAGCTGTAACTTCGGGTATTGGAAGATTAATTTTTGGTATTCTAGCCGATAGAAAATGGGCAAATCGAATTATGTTACAACAAATATCGTTCTACGCAATTGGTACGTTAACAATAATTTTGCCTTATGTAAAATCTTTCCCGTTATTAGTAGTAATATCTTTGGGTATGGGGATATTTGATGGCGCGTTTATATCGCTAATTGGACCGATAGCTATTCAGTTCTGTGGTAGCGTCCAGGCAGCGCAAAGCATTGGATGTATGTTGGGTGTAGCGGCTTTCCCTCTATCACTAGGTCCACCTATAGCTGGGCTTATATTTAAGGCTCATCATTCCTATACATTACCGTTCATATTAGCCGGCATTTCACCTTTAGTAGGTGCAACTATAATGTTCGCTATTAGGTTCCAAAAGTAGTAGCCAAATAAGTTTAAATGAAACTTGAAAATAATGGTGCATTTCGTTTTATATAGGTATGTATTCTAATTAGCGTGCAAAAATACCCTATTTTTAGGGCTTATAGTTCCTAAATTTTACTAGAAATGAATCTCTAAACAATATTTTGTTATTGAGGGCCGCTTCACTAGTGGAAAAATAACGAACATAACACTGATAAGTTATTTAATGAAATAGTGACTTTATATATTTTGCATAAATATTCCTTTGAAAAGTTCCATGACTTGACAGTTCCTCTTATTATCTTGGAACTGCCGGTAAGTAGGTAAAGAAGAAAAATAATAAAAATTTTAAATATCCCGCTACATAAAATAGTGTTCAGTTAATGATTATTTTTCTATATTATCAATTACAAACCAAATATTTAAATATTAAAGCAAGTTAATTTTATTACCGTTGTTTGTTCAAAAGTAAATTATAAGTGATTTTTCTCGTGATGAGTGGCAGAAAAGTATACAAGATGAAGTTTCCCTTACGAAAAGAATCTTACTTAAGTACTTCTTTATTTATCAATACTTTTATTATAAATAAATCAAAGAAAATGCTATCATTTCTATAATAAATCTATATTTTTAAATATTTAATTGAATGGTATATTCTATATTTTTAATGAATATATATAAAGATTCTTAATAAACCGATTCCATTACGGACACTATAGCTGTATTACCAAAGTGGCTGGAACACGAAATAATGGTCGCAGGTTCAATTTTTCAATGTCGATGAGGATTTTTCATTCAGTAATATTTATATCTATTTTTATTCACATACCGAAAAGACTTAAAGATAGGTGCCTTTAAGACGAATATTCATGTTAGATTTATTGTTACAGAGTAAGGTTTTTTTGTTACCAAAATATAAGAGCATATAATATTTTAATTTTTAAGATAGATAATCTTATTGCATCAAAGATGGTTTTAGTATCTATTAGCCTTATAGTATCTTTACACTTTATAAAGAAAATGTCAATTTTTTACCTACACTTATTGCACTTTCACCGAATCTCGCCGACTTACAACAATCGCATATTAAAGACTAAGTTTTATTTTATATTTATTTTAAGATTTAATTTTTAATTGTTAAATTATATTAGATATTTAATGTTATGTATAAGCAAAATATTTATAATCTCTAGTTAAATATATATTGTTTGTAATGAAAGTTTATTTTCATAATTGTGCTTTTTATAGGACAAAAAATAGTTAAGATGAATATGAAATTGTGTTGTGTTGTTTTAATGTGTGAAGAAAACTAATAGGTTCATGAGTTTGGATGTTCAAAACATATAAATTCGTATATATATAGAATGACGTGGTCAATTTAATGAGAATAACAATATAACAATGTTAATTATATTATTATTAAATAAATGTGGTGATAACTATTCTATGTGTGATGCAGTAATTAAGCATTGTTGATATTTTACGTACAAAGTTCAATTCCTTTGTGTATTTGAAACTATTTCCATATCAATATCTCCCATGAGGTCCAATAGATAAAGATTGCTCAATATTAAACGAAAGAATGAATTAAATCACTGTTACATTTAAACTTTTTTTTTAATGAATGCATTTCGAAATTTTAATATCATATGATTTTACATTTATTTTAATAATATATTATATTTTATGTATTGGTTATATTTGAACGTTGTAAATGATAGTTTTTTCTGTTGTTTTTTATATGTGAGTTCCTACGAAATATCCTGACATATATGTGATTTTGTTTATTAACCTTACTTATAATTTATGTATAATTTAATGTTATTTAATTAAATTGATTAAAAAACTGGTCTATTTCTTGTGATGCCAGCTTTAGAGCTACAACTTACCTTAAGTTTTAACAGTAATAAGCTATATTTTTAAATATATTTTTATTTAATATTGTTGGGTGTAAATTAAATTTTCAAAATGATAGGTTTACGTCGTGTAACATACCATGGAGTATTATTAAGACTATAAGGTCTTTGAATTCCACATTTTTTTGTGACTCTTAATTCTTTTTACGAAACGTTCGCAGGAAATTGTTAGTTAATCGTCTCAATAAAGGCCATTTACTTAAGTGTCCAATTCGCCTCGCTGGCAGACGCTCGTCTGAGCGATTGTTTGATAAATTTTGCCCAGCGCTACCGAAAGAGTGAACACGTATTTCAACCTCTTCGTGGGACGGTGAATTTGTTTTCTGCGTCGCCCAACGGAGAGGCTTTGATAATCTGCGAAACGGGAAAATAAAATTGTATTTACATCTTCTATATAATACGAACATTATATTTAATACCTCTCTCTATTTTCAAATACGATTGATATGATTAATATCAGGTCGTGTAATAAAAATTTTGAATAAAAAGTTGCAATAAAACTTTCAAAGACAAGTTTCGAAAGTGACCTATTTCATAAAATACCATAAATATAAAATATAGTAATATAAAAGTTACTCAGAAAAATAATCCATATCTTCCAAGACATCCGGCAGTTCTCTTCCATCCACATCAGGACAAAAATAGCATAAACATGTCAAGCAAACCACTATGACAGTTTCAACTATCATGAGTGTAAAACTATTCATGACTTTAAACATGACTATGAGATAACAAATGATCACGCCCAATTGACCAGACGAGTGGCAACTTCCAAATATGGTTGATCTTACATTAATAGCAAAGAGTCTTGGTGTAATATTCAGAGCCAATCCATAGGCTATAACAGAAGTAGCGAGTGCCATACAGGTTAAAGTATTGGTAGTCGAACTCTGAAAGAAAACGAATAATTATTTTTCTACCTAATGTCGTTCACTCCTGGTAAAATTAAAGAGCAATCGAATCTAGACGCTGTTGTGAAAATAATCTTAATTTAATTCTGGTTAGGAATCTATTTCTAAACGTAAATTCTACTAATGAAAATAAAATAAGTTAATACTTACATTCCATTTAATTCCTATAAGCATCCCATAAAAAATGCCAATTGCGCCAATGTTTAGGCTGAGCATACATTTTAATTTTATCTTTTGTGCTACACCAAAATTTAATATGCCCAAAGCAATTATTAAACTAGAGAGTTTTAATAATGTATACTGTTCGGATGACGAATGTATTCTTAAGTATAGAGAACTTATTAAAAAATTATATAAACACCAAAAGACAACTGTTGCGCCTGACAAAATTTTTACATTATGCGTCGTTAAAATTGCCATGCACGTCCAACTTTTGTCTAGACAGTCATATGCCTGATAAAATAAGGAAATATTAGTAATGATTTTAATTGTCAAGCTATACAGATCAATACTTTGTGCAAGAGCAAGACTAAAGTGGTTATATATTTGTTTCAGCATACCGAATTAACTATAACATTGTGTGTACATATCTAATGTTTCTTTCTCAGGATGAAAGATAGTCATAAATACCTTTCAGAGACACATAAAATAAAAAGGGCATAAGGAGTTGCAGATCACCAATCAGAAATTTTAATCAAATAAAATTAGTTTTGTTTCTGTTTCTTAATAGTAAAATATATTATATGAACAATGCCAACTATTTGCAATACATTAATGCACTACCTACGTAACACTTAATAATTATTACAAAATAACTTACAGACGTACTCTGTGATCAACGGGTCTTATTTTGAAATCATCGCAAAGTGAGATGCCATTCATTTTTGCAGCTTTTCTTAATAATATTTCAGCCTCAGATATTTTTTGATTATACAGTAGCCATTGCGGTGATTCTGGTGTCCATCTAGAAGAAGAGAATTTTAATATAAAAATCTTTGAAACCGATGTTCTATTTGTATGTTTTTATGTTAAAAATGGTACGTTTTGTAACTCTACCGCCTACTAAACTCTGTCACACGTGGTAACCAAATGTTCGCTGAGACATAAATACTTATAATTTGTCTCATAATATTTCACATGTTAATATTTTCAGTGTTCTTTATTAAATAGGAAAACAATTTAAAATATCAATTTTAGTAGACACAAGGAATTGTTTATGCCTAATCCAAATGAATTATCTTTTAGTTTATTGACTAAAATGGTGTGTATTTGAGTAATTGTATATTTTAGATACAAAAGGAATGGAGTAGGTATTAGTTAATAAGATACCTACCGAACTTTTTATTGACAGTTTTTTAAACGTATAAAAGAACTTAAAAAGAACCTCTCTTTTTGAAAATTGTCAATTAATTTCTTAAGATATTAATAATTATGTTTAATTGTATAAATTATATAAGGACATTACATATTTATATGTTAGAATAAACATAAAATATACTGTAACTGTTTTATTATTTCACGTTCCCGCCATTGGTCTGACCTTTAAATAGGATATATTTTTCAGATTTAAAATAAATTAGAAATATGTATATATATAGCAATTAGCATGGGTTCAAATTAATAAATGCTAAAAAACAAATTTGCCACTTATTATTAAAACATCTCAGGTGGTTTATTAACCATTTTTCTGACAATTTGTGCCCCGAAATAGTGTCATATAAGCCAAGCTCCGAACGATGCTTCGTTAACCAGAAATTGTAAAGCAAAAAAAAAAACAATTACAAGTAAATCTTTCTATATCTAAGATGGAGTGGTTTTTACGGGTAAAAAAGATATCAAACTTTTAAATTTGTATAATTGCTATTTTTTGCAACCAAACGGGTTAAATTTATCTTGGAATCCAGAACATCTGTGCTACCAAAAGTATATAACTTTTCGACGTTTGTACTCCTTACTGAGTATCTTAACAGAGTTTTAAACCTGTTTACAAAAAAAAAAACTATCTTAGTATCTAGGTTCAGTTTAGATTTCTTGTAATATTGAATACCTGAGAAGGATCAGTAAGAATGCGCTGTATACACAAGAGATAAAATTGAAAGTTTCCATGTTAGGAGCACTGTTTGCTAAAGGTACTAAACATACTATGGCAAGAATTCGTGGCATTGACACGATTGTTTCTAATCTTGTCCTCCAACAATTACTTGATATTTCGCATACTGCAATAATTCATTACCTTTATTTAATAATTAATTTACATTAAGTTATACAATTGTAACTGTAAAAACTTATAATGTTACGTGCCTACCTACCACAGTAAAGTAATCTAACTGCAAATGTTATTTTCTCAACGAAAGTGATGAGTAATGCGAATTTAAATTGCAGTTGAAATGGAAATATACCTACTTAGTATTATAGTCATGTACGCGTTTGCACTAGCAAACATCGATCTTAAGAAAATTAACAGAAGAAACCAACTTTCTGAATCACAAAATGTTAATATCAATCGAAATCCCACGTCAGCAAATAAGTTTATAGTCATGGCTCGTTTCCTTCCGAAACTAAAATATAATTCAAGGTTAATCAGTGTTTGAGGTGTAACATATTATAACGAGATAAGGATTCTATTAAAATATCAAAATAGTAGCAAGGTTAAGAATTTAGTAAAATACTTTAATACAAAGATAGAGTTCGTTTACCTGTCAGATATGAGCCCAAAAATTATACTGCCAAAAATTACACCCAATCTGCATATTATGGTTGTTGATAGTACTTTCAACTTTTCATCGCAAAAAAACAGCCACTTGTAAATTTAAATTACATTATTATTGCAGGCACTTAAATAAAATTTATTTATCTTGTACGTTAACTCGATAAGTATGCAAAGTAACAAATTTCAAAACTAATACCGATTTTTTTATCCAAATAACCCAGAGGAATTTCAGTTGCCATTTAGTGCACCTAGTTTCTTCGGTCCCGTTAGTTATTCTAAACGTACAAATACTTGAATTGGTAATTGGGAAGTCGGATAAATCGCATTCCACGCTTCTTGGAGGAGCCAGGAGGAACATGTCTTCGTATTGGTTTAACATGTACGGTACTGAAAGTGTTGTGGCCACGAATGTTACCAGCCATTGCCAAGATCCAATGACACCCAAAATGTCGGAAGTAACATCTTCGTGTATGGTACCGATGCTAGAAACATTTAATATAAATTTCTTGTCTTTTATACGGATAATTAATAAATTGTTATACTTACATTGACATTTGATAAATAATATTAATCAAAATATTTATATGTGACAATTCGGCCAACTAGTTGTCTGCCTAATCTGGTTTTAAATTATTTCATATTGTTTACTTAAACATCAATCAATAAACAAAGATTGTAAGTGTGAATATTCTAGTAGATTCTTTACTATAACAATGTTCTAAAAATAATGATATATGTACAAAGCTGAGGACATCTTAATTAGCGTTACAAACATTGTATACATTTCATGAATGTCTCCCTATATTCAATCTTCGTTGTTGCTTCAATGTCATTTCTGGAACAATGCAGGTAAGAAATTGCATGCATTTCTTAGCCTAATTGCTTTATTTACTCAATGTATTTAAGAAAACTGAAACAAGGAAGAACATTATCTTTTCTATCCTTCCTTCTGTCTCTTGATTGGAATAAGAAATTCGAACAATTTATATTAAATTTGTTATTTGGTATTTCATATTTTATTTATATATTCAAACTAGCAGAGCTATTAATATTTTAAATTTATTTAAGTAAATTATGAACGTGTATAAAAAGTAAAAAAAAATGTATAACAAATTCCATCCGACTTAATTATTTGGGGTGATTGAAATTAGCCCTGTCAGTTGTCCTAAAGTCGTGTTATACCAAGTCCTAGTAAGTGGAGAAAAGGCCATTCGAGTTTTTTTTGGTCGGTTGCGGTAACCGAACGAAACGAAGACGGCGCCACGACGGTAATCATCCATTCGCCCGCCCGCCGCCGGCACGATCGCGTGGCGATCGCACGTTTTTCCCACGCGCAGTTTGTCGCGCCAAATAACTTCACAAATATATGGTGTATATTACAGAATTTCAAACGCACAAGACTACGTACATCGAAAAGACTCAGAATGGACAAGGATCGTGCCTTGGAGGATATGATGGGGAAGTTGGGTAAGCGCATATCACTAAAACATATGTTTATATAAAGTACTATTTCCATACATTTCACGTTTTTTTTACGGTTTAATTGATAAGTTAGTTATTTATAATCGTGAAGTACATTAGCTGGTCAATATTTAATGTCCTGATTTCTTTGGCCGGTCTTGCGGTCAGAATACCGATAGCACGTGTTTGTAGCTTCGTATGTCATGTTTCGGCTTAAGAGTGAAGTGAACGCAAAGAGCTTTCATTTTTAAAGTCAATGTGCCACTTATTCAGTCAACTATTACAATTTAAATACATAGTTTACAATACATTTATATCAATAAATGTTCTACTGTCCAGCATTGATAATTTTATAGCTATCGCTAATAAGAAAAATGTAAGATGTGTGTATATAATTTAATTATTTTTTTTTAAAAGTGTAATACAAAAGTCACTTTCAATTTAATAAAAGTTGCCTGTCTCATGAACCGGTAAGTAAGGTCAACCACTAGGTACACATGTACGTTCCTTTACGATTCTCGAATCACAATCACAAATAATAATCCACACCAAAATTATCGACATATCGGAAACGGAACGGCACTATTTCATGCAAATGGCGATAAGGTCACAGACAACGTTAATTTAATTACCTAATTTATTTTAAATTATTTATCGAAATAATTTTCCTGTTATGATTTATGTAACGTATATGGTTTCAAAGTCATTTTAAGTGTTTATTTTAATTATGTATTATTTCACATTTCATCGTATTATTCGTACCATATAAACGTTACCAACCTTGGCTGGACTGTTGAATATTAAATACGAGTATACCCACGGGCATAGATGTCGTGATAAAAGTATTATTTATTTGGTATGTTCATACAATTAAATCTTCTAGGAATAATCGTGAACAGCATAATTGCATTTAAATGTAAACGACGTCTACCTTTTAAACTGATATTTTTATCGTAAAATTGTTCGCTTGCTTTATTCCTATGAAATAATAATCATTACGTATATTTTATGCTCAAGGTTACATTATATAGATATCCCTAAAAGTAAGAACTGTTTATTTTAAATATATTCAAACTTACAATATAGTACAATCATAATATAATACATTCATGGAAATATACATTTACTTTGATATGTCGAATGGTAATTTTTACCTTGCTTTAATACAAGTATCTGTTTACAAAATACACAAGTTATTTTGCAGCGTGATTTATTTATAACTATATTTCCATTGAAAAATATTAATATATATTTTATGAAGGTTAATTTAAATGTATGACGAGAAAATAAAACAAGGGAAGCTCAACACATTTAATGGTTTCTGACCATCTTTGCATACTTTACTGTGACAAGCCATAATAGGAGAGTAATGTTTTTTTGTTAAGGTTGTGTGTTGTATATCTTATTCATCAAATTGATTTTTTGGTAAAATAATAACTAAACAAAGTTTTCGTTATATTCTTGACCCGTTGAGAACTTAGGTATATCAGAGCAGGTGAACAGAAAAGGGTTTGTAGTTACAAAAGTGTACAATATACTATACTGTTATATTTAAAAATAAGTTAATTTAAAATCAATCTCTATATAATGATTACTTATATGTATAATAATAAAGACGTAAAAGTAACAAGCAAACAATTTATTAAAAGAAAGTCAGCAACTAAAAAGATATAAAAAATATTTATTAGAAAAAACGATTGAGTAAAACATTGTCTCACTGTCAATGCTATTTAATAATTTCTATACCTATAATTTAAGTTAGTTTAGTATAGAGTTCGGCTTTTAATTCAATATTTTTTAATTAATTAATACTATTTTTCAAAAAACCTTAGGTTTGACCACAGATAAAGTACCAAAAGACCAAAGAAAGATCAAACTTGTATGTTAAACGTGCGACATATTTTTTGTTTAAGAATAGATTGCACTTTCGACCTCTAAGGAAATAATATACAACATAATACATGTGCAATCGGTTGTTGACATTATGTGCAATAATTTAATGATACAGTAAGGTTATTTTTATCACAGTTAGCAACAATCATACTTCAGTATTGATTATGTTTGCAGTAAACAAAGAAATATTTATTATATTACGTTATATTACTAAAGAAAGTAAAATAATGTGTGCATTTGAATTTAAGGACATTTGTATGTTTTCTTTATTGTCATGTAATTTTTGTACATACATTTTATCTTATTAGATTTCCTCGATGTAATATTTATATAAAATTCTTCTTCGTAATTAAAATCGATTCAAATTTATTTATTACGGACAATTTGTACAGGTGTCAGTGAATGTGTTGTTCGAGATAACAAGTTTACTTTTATACAGAAATATATTTCTATAGATTAAAATGGTTTCAAAAATGCTTTTTAAAATACGTTGTGTGCACCTTATAATTTATTATAATAGTATTATATTATGTTATATGTTGCCACATAGAAATAATTATTTTTGTAACAAAATTTATTTGAAAATCTCATTAGTAGTCATGATGGTAGTGTTGTAGACACGTAAAAAAAACAAAAACTGATTGATTATCGACCTTGAAGATAAAATTATGTAGAAGACATTTAAAAATTCTTTAAACGTCACTTATATAAGAAGATTATTGTATATGAATAAATTTTTTACATAAGACAGTATTAACTTTAAAATTACAAATACCTAAATGCCTAATACCTACATATGCGTAGCTAAGTTATTTTAGAATGTATGTATGTCACTTTCGCGTTGCATGACTGACAAGTGTAGCAAATCATTAAAAGAAATTATGCTACTCGACTAATTCATGTTAGTTTTGTTTATCGATGTTTAGGCAGTTAAATTATGACTGAAAAACATCGTTATTTAAAAAGTTACCAATTATATTCCCAGTCAATTGCACAAAATATATTTTTTAATATAGAGTAGGTACGTCGAATACCTAATCGAATATTTGCACTCGAATGATAATATTGGCAAATTAATATTGAAGATATGACACTATTTAGCATTTTTAACGACATGACCGGGGTATAGGTATTTTAAATTCTTATAAATATTCCATTAAAATGTCAATAACTTAAAATCTAAACAAATTTATTATCAACGCTACAGTTTCCTGATCTTGTTATCACATAAAAGTCATTGTAAACTTGGTATATCATTTGCATCACTAACACATTCAATATGGCCTTGGATAAAAGGTTACCAGAAACTAAAACAAACTATTTGTCAATATTATATAATGTAGCAGTCAAATATTCTGACGTAGAGTACCTTAGTAACACGCACAATATCAATTATCAAGGATAAACCAGCGCGAAGTAGAAATAAATCGTTTATCGCTTTATTATTTATTCGTGTATATGTAATTTATATATAAAAAAGGAGTTGCATAATATTCAATATAGATTAAAAAGAGTTGTTGAAGAAATTCATTCTGTGTTAAAGATACAGTAACGACCTTAGATTTTTTACTCGTCAAGGACATAACTTTTATTCACTAGTCTTCTGCCATCGTCTATGCCCCTCGAAAAGCTAATTCTGGCGTCAGCCCAAGATCCCAGCATGAAGTATTTAAGGTCAATGAGTTATCTCGTATTGTTAAAGCGTTTATATTTTAACCAACGTCCCTGGAATGCTCTCAATAATTTTGAAACGCAATACCTTTTGACGTAATTGCTTATTTTTTTAAACATAAGTGACGAAGACGTTTAAAAGCGAAGTTCTCGGTTCGCATCAACGTTGCTTGTTGATTATTTTGCAATGTCTGAAAATAGAATATTCAGCCGGTTCCGCGTCCCCGATTATTTTAAAATGACATACATTTAGTGTAATTTTAAGTTTTGTATATATTACAACGCAATTATTTTAACAACGTTTAAAGATTTTGTGACTTCATAATGAAATCTTTGAAACATTTAGGCTTGCGAATCAATCAGATGGTGAAGAGGAGAGACCTGTGTCTATGCTTGCAAACCTTTTGTTTTGTTTATCTAACTTTTCAATACAATTCACTAGTCCTCTACATTGTTACATATAGTTATCATAATATATTCGATACGTCCATGTTGCATCATATATTTGATATCGTACATTATTTATTTATATAACAATTTATATTATTGCATCTCCACCTCAAGGACGATACCTCATCTTAGTTTTGTTGCCAGAGCATGTTTACTGTTATGTGTGATAATATTAATCACTACACATAGTTGCGTATATCTCATGAATGTTATATTATTTTGAATATTATATTGTAATTCGTCTGACAATTATTGTACAAATCAATACACCTTTAGGAATATTTTCCACATCTGTTTTTGCCTGTATTATTGCACTAATATATTATTCAATATTTGTAGTTTGCAGTTGTGAATTTTAACATATAGTATGTGCTTTATTTGTAAGTTTCTTTAACCCTTTCTTAAGGGATGTAGATGAAGATAAAGAGGATGTTTTTTGATGTTATTCTCTTGACTACACATACACCTGACAGCAATTTACTAAATACAGAAATATGGAAAAATCTACATTTGTTTTGTTGACATATATTTGTTTTAATTAAAATAAATTTATTATTTTCTTATTAAACTTAAATATTTAAAATATTAATTTAGAAATTGAAGTGCAGCATTTCAAATAATTTCCAATAAACTACAATTTCTTTATAGGAATTTTAAAAATGGTGTATAAGTCAGACGTGGAAAGTAGAGCGTCAAATTCATTGTAGATAAAGTGGACTTGTTAGAAAAGTGCAGCATTCGCAAATAGTGTAAGTGGTTGATTGCACTTAAGTAGGCGGATGTCCGAATGCCATTACTTTTATCGGAGCACGCTTATTTACGCAGAAAATTTTTTCAAACACGATGTTTTTATTTCGTTACCGCAAACTATGTATTTGTAATGAAATTCGATCCAACCTATCATATTACTCGTATTATTTGCAACATGAATCACACTCGGGTCGATGTAAGGTCGATGAAAATTATCTTATTAGGCTAATGTAATAATAAGTTATCACGAATTTATTTGGTGTAAACAGAAACATTACATATTTGATATAAAATTATTTAACAAATACTTTTAAATTGTAAAATAATTACTTTAAGGATATTTCCTGTTGTATTTACTGAATCTTACATACGTCATGTTTTAAATTAAAATGAGTTATAAATAAGGTAAAGTAACCATTATGAATATTAAAGAAATCGGTACGAACTCATTTATGTATACACAAGTTTTACTATCAGTTCGTTATCTTCAAAAACTCTCTTTAATAATCCCTAAACGACGCCCTACTTTATCGGTAATCGATGTACCGACAAATTGATAATAAGTATATTGGGCCGCATTTGTAGTGCTTTTTATATATGATTTTTTTTTGATTTAGCAAAGTAACTGTTATGATTTTTCACTCTCGTTGTAGTGAAAATAATGACTAACCAGTTATTGTCTTTAAAATAATTCAAGTTAATTTTTGATATAACATTAATTTTATATATTGTAAACTAAAGTATTTTTTTTTCATACAGACTTGTTAAAAATTTATGAAAGGATTAAGTGGAATGATATTCTTTTATGATGTTCAACCTTTACAAATCTAAATGTTAATATCATTAAAGTATTGTTATTTACAAAACAAAATATTGTATCGTGTATAATTTTGTTATAAATGTACTTAAGTGAACTTGTTGGCGCTGATTAGCAATGCTAATTCTAACCTTTCAACCTAATATAGCTTTATTTTCATAAAGACAACTAATCGTTTGGTTGGTAACATTTGTAAGTAAGTAAAATATGCACTATTATTGTTGTAACAAAACAAAATGAGAGCAGTTACAGCTTCTATAATCACTTGCTACTTGTTTAAGAACATTCAAAACTAATTTAAATTTGGTGAATGATCAATTTTGTATAAGGACGTGTTAATTTGTGACATCTTGAAATTTCTTCCACCTTTTAGCCTTTTTTCTATTATTTCTGCTACTCATATTGTAATATTACAAAGATAAGTATAGAAATATAACGTGCTTAATGATATTTTTAAATTTGTGTTCGCTTTGTAAATTATAAACCTTTATGTACTTAGGTAAATATTATATTTCTAAAATCGCAGTCTAAAACGTTACAGGAAAATATTTCTTTCCTTATAAAATATTGAAAGATAAAACTTATTTATAGTATGCAATATTTTACACGAACGATAAATTATGATTATCATGATATTAAACAGCTTTGGATCCCTTATAGTATTCGATTTAACAAATGAGGGATTGTAAAATTGTTAATTAGTAAATGGCTGCTTGTTAGTTTCTTGTTTAACTATTTAAAATTTATCTCAATGTACTTAATCGTAAAAATAATATGGAAAATTATTTGTATTAGTATAACACTAATTTGTCGTATTTTTATCATCAATTATGTCCCTTCCATAACCATTGTACGATATCTCAACAGCAGGCCAAGGTTTACTCCAACGTGAAGTCTATTTCGCAACCGACTTTATCGAGTGACCTTCCCAATTTAATTTTGTTTATAAAGAGATAATAAAAATTTGTGATTTCAGGGGACTTCGGTCGATATCAAGGCTTACAGTTCTTCCTCCATATCCTCTCAGCTTTAACGGCGGGGCTTCACATGCTGTCATTAGTTACAGTCGCTGCTGTTCCTGAACACAGGTGAATTATCATAGTTATTTTACTTTTCAAAAATACATACGTTACTTCACTACGATACTTAAAGTTTTGTAACGACGAAGAAACCAAAATACATTGATATATGTACTAATAACAGTATCAGAAATTTATAATTGCGTTTAGCTGTGGTTCAGTTTAAATTTAATTTTACTTCAACTTATAAAATAGGTCATATAACAAAACATATCAATATCTTTTATATGAGGAAGACAATGAACATATTTTCCCGCGAATCGTTCCATTATAAAGCATACAAAGTAATTAAATTAATCTAAGAAACGATTGCAAAGTAATAATTGATAGGTAATTAAAGAACACTTAGACACAAATATGAATTATTGAGTAATACTTGTGATATACTATTGAATTGTTTCAATTGGATTTAAAATATCACAAGTAACTATAAGTATTATAAAGGCAAATTAAAAAATAGCACAATTGGATAGGTATATCATTTATAATTTACATTTATGTATATACGTATCCTAAGTATTTTTTAATAAACAGAATGAAGGAGATGGGATTTTTTACGTATAGCTTGGGATGAAACAGAATGCTTAAGAATGTCTATTTCATTATAGTTACTAAGGTTTGACTTGCGGATCTAGAATGTGTATGATTATTGCTTTTTATTTTTATGCTTTATTTAAATATAAAAGTTTCCTTGCTTGTGCATGTCAAAAGAGTTTTGTTTTGTTTCTGTCTTTTAAGGATATTGTCTGCTATTAGAATAATTGTATTATTTAGAACTGTTATCTTCGTGAATGCTCTCTACTTCCATAGTACATATGCAGAATAGTGATAACGTTAAATTTTAAATAATAAAAGATTTGTTTTTTTGCAATATATTAGTATTAATTATTTTCATTCGCTATACCTAGTAAAGAGTTTTGCTTACTAATAATTTTAAGTGAAATGAAGAGGTTTTATAAATACAATAATATTATTTTATGCTCTTAGGAAAGGTAAGTAAACTATAGGTAAAAAATAATAAGGTTTTTATAATATAATTAAGTCGATTTACGCTTTTTTCGGGTTAAAGGTTTTAAGCCAGTGACGTTTGGTGCTGTCGGGTAAATACAAAGTGAGTACAATTTCCTAATCTTTATTATCTGGCTAAGGTTATTAACAGCATTTTAATAGTAACATATCTATGTCTTTTGTTGCTTTGTTATATAAATGTTAGGGGTTAATGTTTTTATTTCATTTATAACCTTGTAATGTATGTTTGGTGAGCAATAATTATATTTTGGTTTTGCATGATTTCAGTGAATGAGGATGGGGAAAATCCTTTTGTGTCTTTATAAATAGTTTTTTTTGTTTTTATTTATTGAATAACAAAGTTCATTACAAATATTGTGCATTATACATAATCCACAAACCCGCATGGGAAGAACATTGTGGGTTAACTATCAGAGACACCTTTCCATATTTTGAAAGGAGGCTTGGGCCTAGTAGAGGCTCTCGTGTTTTCCACATTTTACTTAACTCATATTCCATTCGAGCCACACGTTTTATGTTGTAACTTTTATGTTGAGAAGAATAATATGAAATAAACGTAAACAGCTTAAAAAGTAATTGAGGTAACTTTATTTTGCAGGTGTACAATAGATGGAGTAGACAGCTCTAATTACACGGCATCCTGGAATTCTTCTCTCGTACTAAATGCCATCCCTTTAAATTCACACGGAAAATTGGAGTCCTGTAAGATTTATGGCGAAAATAATACACTACAAACATGTGATTCTTGGGTTTACAATACCCAATACTATACTTCGTCGCGAGGAATCGAATGGGATTTCGTATGCAGTCGAAGATGGATGGGAGCAGCAGCTCAAACGGCCTACATGTTTGGAGTCGTGATGGGCTCGTTTGTTTTAGGACGTTTCTGCGACAAGTTTGGCAGAAAGACTGTATTTGTTTGGGCAGGCATTTTTCAACTCATATTCGGCTCGTTAGTTGCTTTGGCGACGCAATATTATACATTCATTGTCTTAAGATTTGTTTACGGTATATTTGGATCTGGTTCATACATAGCTGGTTTTGTACTTACAATGGAATTAGTGGGACCAAGTCGGCGAACAATATGTGGTGTGGCTTTCCAAATTATGTTTGCGGTAGGAATCATGCTCGTGGCTGGGTGGGGATATATCTTAGACAATCGATTTTACTTACAGATTGTGTATGGTCTACATGCCTTGATATTACTACCCCACTGGTTTCTTATGGACGAGTCAATAAGATGGCTCTGGTCGCAAGGGCGTGCTCGCGAATCAGTAGCTTTAATAGAGAAAGCTTTGAAAATGAATGGTTCCAATGAAATAATTGAAACATCCGCTTTAGTATCTCAATGCAAAGCTACTTGTGCTAAATACTCTGATGATGAAGCAGCCAGTACAGGTGACCTTTTTAAAAGCCCGAACATGTTAAAAAAGACTCTCATAATCTGCGGATGTTGGTTCGCCAATTCAGTTGTATATTACGGCCTCTCCTTAAATACTGGAAAACTGAATGGAAATCCTTATTTCTTAACTTTTCTATTTGGAATTGTTGAATTACCCAGTTATATTATAATTGTTTATTGCTTGGACAGAGTCGGACATAGAGCACTTATTAGCACGATGATGTTGTTTGGAGGAATTGCGTGTCTGGTTGTAGTGGCCCTACCACATGGTTCAAATTCAGTAACCGGAGTTGTGATGATTGGCAAACTTTTTATTTCTGGTTCATATTCAATAATATACAAGTATTCTGCAGAATTATTTCCTACAGTAGTGCGCAGTTCCGGTGTTGGATTAGGAAGCATGTGCGCGAGTGTATCGGGTGCTTTAACACCTTTAATAAGTTTACTGGATACGTTGAATCCCAAAATACCAACCATTATATTTGGATTTTTAGCTCTCATATCGGGATTTTCTACCTTTTTCTTACCCGAAACAGTAGGTAGAGAGCTACCACAATCTGTAGAAGATGGAGAAAAGTTTGGAATTAATGACACTTGCTTTACAAATTGTAGCGGAAGGCGAATGAGTACTGCTTCCGAAGACCTCCCAGAAGCTATGGAACCATTAGACAATACTGTGAAAAAGATTTAATTAGCCATTCATATTGCGCATGGATCACACACATACACATTTCTTTTTTATACTTTAATATTATTATAGATAGCATCGTGTGCTAATCAATTAGGATAAGATAAAAAAAAATGTAATAACTACCTTATGTTGACTCTCAGTTTTATACAAAACTGACTTATGGTAGTTGAAAAATACTAAATGTAGTAGTATTTTTTGTATGACTGAAAATCTAGTGACTTGTAGGATAAAATACAATATACAATATGCTTTTATAATTACAGAAAATACGTACTAAGTATAGTCACTTACTAGAGTAGTTTTAATGCATGGGATTATTGAATTTATACTTTTTTATCAATGTTTAAGATTGTTAAACTTTATATTATATAATTCAAAAGATTAATTATTTAAGTGCTTCAAACGTCTAGTCAGATTTCTTCTACAAGAATTAGACTGGATAGTTATTTTAAATAATAGTTGATAAGACGTTGATGTTAATAAGAAAGACTCAATGATATTGGTTGAAATAGAATAAAATAAACATCAAGGTTGAAAAGGTCAAAAGGAATTTTGCAAACGTAAATGTTAATACAGGTAATATAAATTTAAAATGAAATTTCAAACGAAAATACAGGGAATTTAAATTTAAAATGTAAGATTGCTTTTGAATAAGATTATTATTTTACTAAACACTAACCAAGGTTCTTACGAACTTTACATAAGGTAACTTTTTCTTAAACTAATTTAAAGCCTCTTATTTAATATAAACGATTTATGTTTTATATAATATGTATGTCTACGAAATATTTTTTTGCACATTAGAACCGTAAGCCGAATAAAATAAAAATTTTGAATAAATTACATACATATTTATCCTTTTGTTTTAGATACTCAATAATATTTCGAAGGAATTCTTTAGATCGTTTGTAAGAAAATGTGTTCAGAGTTCATATTTCTTTAATTTTATTTTTACTAAATACGTATAATCTTTAGCAGTAGCTATAACTAATACCTCCTAGTCCTTTGTAATAGTTTTATACCGTATTAAGACAAATATTAAAAACCCAGTGCAGTACATATGTAAGCTTTTTATTGATTTGCTTTTTAAGGTGTTTTATGAACGAATTTTTGAGCTAAAATATAAGACACGATACAAAATTATGTATGTTTAATATTCTATTCTGGGTAAATAAAAAAGGATATCTGGTCAAAAATCAATAGACATATTGAAAAATTATAAGATTTTTTTTAAATAATTTGTTATGTATTTCTATTCACTTAATACTATATTAATCCCATTTTGATTTTTTGTGCTTATTGTTTATTCTTTCTACATTTCTAATAAAAATATTTGAGAAAATTTGTTTTGTTTCTATCTTCGATCCCTCTTTTTCTTACCATATTCTTACTATAAAAACTAGTAGTACAGTCATTAATTGTTTCAAACTTGATCGATTATTAAGTGAACACAATGTTAAAGCTGAATTAAAAGTAGGACGTATATAGTATTTGATTTAATAAATATATATTTATATTCTCATTTACAGATGCTGGATTGATGGTGTCGACACAAACGAATCGGTGGCCTTATGGAATTCGTCAGAAATATTGAAGTCTATACCTTTGACCTCTACCGGTAGTCTGAGCAGTTGTTTGATGTACAATGAAGAGAATGTAACAGTATCTTGCAACAAATGGGTATACGATTCAAAATACAGAACATCTTCTCGAGGCATTGACTGGAACTTAGTATGCGATCAAAGGTGGAGAGGTGCATTAGCCCAAACCATGTACATGTTAGGAGTTTTCACAGGAGCTGTTTATTTAGGAGGCCTAGCTGACAAAATAGGTCGCAAAAAAGTATTTTGCATGTCCGCTGTATTACAATTAATTTTGGGTGTAGTAGTTGCCTTTATTCCAGAGTATTGGACATTTGTAGTCGTAACCTATTTATACGCAATTTTTGGATCTGCCGGGGCATATATTCCTGCATTTGTACTCACTATGGAATTAGTAGGCCCAAGCAAAAGAACTATTTGTGGTGTCGCCTTTCAAGCTACTTTTGCTTTAGGTATAATGTTGGTTGCAGGTTGGGGCGCGCTTATTGACAATAGGGTTGTACTTCAAGTTGTGTATGGACTGCATGGTTTAATTCTTATTCCACATATTTGGGTAATGGATGAGTCACCACGTTGGCTCTGGGCTCAAGGCAGACCCAAAGAAGCTGTAGATATTGTTCAAAAAGCTCTTAAATGTAATAAATCCGATGAAGTTTTAGACCGGGCATTTTTAGTTTCTAAAGGAAAAGTTGAAAAGTCTAAAAATACAGAGTCGTCTGCAAGCGTTTTCGATTTGTTTAAAACACCAAATTTACGGATTAAAACTTTGAATGTTTGTCTCTGTTGGTTTGCTAATTCTTTAGTCTACTATGGTCTTACTCTTAGTACTGGAAAATTGGAAGGAAATCCTTATCTTATAACAGCTGTTTTTGGTTTAGTAGAGTTACCAAGCTATGCCGCCGTTGTATATTTCCTCGATATTTGGGGGCGCAGGCCGCTTATGAGTTCCATGATGCTGGTAGGTGGCAGTGCATGTATCATTGCCGCCTTTATTAATCCAGAATCTATCGTGTCAACTGTTGTTGTGATAGCAGGAAAGTTGTTCATAGCTGGTTCTTTTGCAATTATTTATAATTATTCCGCTGAATTGTTCCCTACAGTTGTCCGAAATTCGGCTATAGGATTAGGATCAATGTGCGCTCGGTTTTCAGGGGCTCTTACACCTTTGATAACTTTGCTCGATTCTTTTGATCCGAAAATTCCTGCAGCCACCTTTGGTTTAGTAGCTATAGTGTCAGGATTTCTTTGCTTCTTCTTACCTGAAACAATGAATCATCCAATGCCACAGTCATTAGAAGACGGAGAACACTTTGGCAAGGGTGAAACTTGTTTCACAAGTTGTTTGGGTAAAAGAGATAGCATTGATTCATATAATGCCGATGACAAAGCAGAGGAAATGGTGTCATTAGATGATATGGGTAAAAAAGTTTAATTTTAAGGTTTTAGATAAGACTGGGTATTGATCTTATTTTAAATAGAATTTCTTTGGAGTTAAGGTGAAACCAAAAAAAAAATCAAAGAGAACTTAATCTCATAATAACATACGGAAGATCTGAATATATCCTGATCGAAATATATTACCACTAATTAATTAAAGCAAATATGAAATATTCTAATACCCAAGATATAGCAGGAACATGGTAAACACCAAAGAATAAAAATACATGCATACATCTTACTTTGCGGCTAATCAGATAGGGGGAATGGTCGTAATCAACACGTTTTAATTTTTTACAGTATATGAAGTCAGACTACAATATAAATTATGCTATACATTCACATACTTACCATATAAACTGATGCATAAATAATATGTTAGAATTGTAGTGAGGTCAACCAAGTTACTAAGCAAAGCAAAGTCGATTGAATTGTACAAAATAATTACCTATATATTAAGTCGAATCCAAAAAAGGAATTCTCTACATCTAAGTTACTTTAAAGTCAACAATCACTTCACGTTTAAATTATTATTATTTTTTGTAAGCACAGCTGAAATCCACTTGCATATAAATCTCTATGCTTAACAAATATATTTTGACCACTGCCAACTATTTGTCAGCATTCAATGATTTACTTAAAGATAAGAATGCTCTACACTTCTTATAATACATATGTAATATAAAATATTTATGAGGATTTAATAGGACATGTTCTGTAATACTTTTTTATTTATTGTTGGATAGAATCTTTTTTTATTGAAAACTCATTAGTGTACTTATTATTAGAATCTATTTATTATTAGAACCTTAGATATTATTTAAAAATTTTATTGTTTCTAAATTCAAAATTATTATCGAGATTTATATTTATTGTTTAGCACAGATATTTAATATAAGGTTACTAATATGAGCCGTCCATTTGTCGAATCTAAAACAAACTTTATAAATTGATCTTTAATATAACAAAAATTTACGCATTTAGGCTTAGGTAGGTAGGCAAGGCCTCTATATATATTTATGGCCTACCTCCAGCGTGGAAGTGGTTTTTATTAATATGCTTATAAATTGTTACCAAATTTCTAATTAAAATTAAGTAATGAGGTTTTAAAGAAGATACTATATATTATATATATTTGATGATTGTAATTTGTTAGATAGGTGATATTTTTTGTGATGTTAAATTGATTTGAAGTTCAAGAGGCTAAAGTGTTTAATTACTGACATAATGTGTTTATGTTCCTAAATATCCAAATTGTCACTATTGATTGTTAAAGTACAAAGCGTGCCAAAAGTAGGCTACAACAAAATATAGAATAATGTTATTAAATTCCTACATATTTTGTGATAAAAATAAATATATTTTAATCCTCTATTATGTTATTATTCCAAAAGATTTATGATCGGATACGATGTATCGTTTGTTGAGATTTTTTGTTAAATTATAATCACCATTCCATTAATAAATATGTTATGCACAAGTAAATCCTTGTTCCCTTATTTCGTGCCGCTGATAGGACTGCTTCTAATGCGGATGAAAACGAGTGGCGGAAGCTAGAGTAAGCCGCGTGAATTTGCTTTCTTTAAATATCAGTTTTGACGAATATATTACTTATTAATTATATAGATAATCAAGCAACCAACAATGAATCGTAACTTTAAAACAAATTATACATTCACGACATTATTAATGACCAACAAGTCGTGCAAATGTCAGTGGATTTCCCTATAACGTAAATAAAGTTGTTAAAAATAAATAAATCATAGAGGTACATCATCGTGTCTTATAACATTAGAAAAAATGTATACCTACATTATTTCCTTTTATTATTATTATTTATTAGGGAAGATTCTATATCTATAGGGAAAAAAATGTTGTGGAATTATTTTTGGAAGTAGATACTTGTTGTTGGGGAATTACCTAGATTATCACTTGGAAATTTTAGAAAAGTTTAAATATAAACTTTCTTTCCAAGAAAAACAATAAAACCTTTAAAAATAAAAATTTTTGTTAAGTAACCAAAAACGCCTCCGGGCTAAAGTATCACATAAATACATTATCCTTAATTTTAATTATTGCCTGGACAAGTTTAAAGACTAATTGGATTAAAAAAAAATGTTGCACCCGTGCTTAAAATGGAGGTTATATCTGTAACGTACTAGCATAAATTATCTGTGTATGAGGTTTCGTAACTGTTTGTCTGAAATCTAAGTGGTTTAAAAATTTAATAGAGCATACTGATTACACAAATGTACTCGTAAGGTAGCCTAAGCCACTGACAGAAACAATTCCAATTAGTTACCTCCATGTTACTTATAGTAAATTGTCAGCAATATTGTACTTGGTTGCGAAACTGAGCTTGTTTTTTTTCCTATCTGTTATGATTGCTAAGGTTAACCATTTACTAATTGCCTAATCTATTATTAAGTAAATTGTGCCATTTCACTAATGGACTCAAAAGACATGATTAGACAAAAGACTTATTTGAATAACGTTAAGCGCCTGTTTTGTTTTTGTTACTAAGCATGTTTTAAATTACATGGAACATCTACATTCGGATTGAAGAAAATATTTTATATAATTTAAGTAAATTTTCATATACTAGTATACATAACAGTTGTTACTTTTGCGGTTTTGTTAAAATTGGTTGTAGTTAGGTTTATCTAGATGGCAGCACTAAACCTCTTTAGTTCGACCTTAAGACTAAGATTGTCTATGCTTCTGTATGATTACCTTTCTTCAAAAATAAAGTGTTTATCCAATTAACGAATTTTGGGTTTATTAATAAATTACAAACACGACAGAAATATAGCACTAGATATAACTACAGAGTTGAAAAATTAAATACTACTTATTATCCCACTTAAGATAAGAATACTAATCTACGTATAGGTTCATAATAATGTAAAAAAATATATAGTAAGTAGAGTTCCTCCGCAAGGGGTAGAAATGAATTTTCAAAGAATTTTTAGTTTTAAAGAAATTTTATTAACATTATAGTTTACAAGTCATAATTAATTGCCCGAATACATTCCCTTTCGCTCTGTCTCTTTTTAATTTGGACTTCTTTTTCGGTATGAATAGATATTTTTTGCGAAACATTAGGACTAAAAATACGTCGTTAAGAAGGAATGATTTTGTAAGAGTGTATGTTTTGTATGATTTGAAATGAACAGGAGATGCAAAACACTAACATTAGACGCATGTGCAATGGCTTACTGACGAATAATTTTACGCGGTAACTCTCTTTCAGTCTACCTTTAATATTTATCATTTTAGAAAGTAATGAATAAAGTAACCATATACGATAGTAAATAGAAGGAAATAGGTTTAATTTGATATGTGATTAATAGTTACTAACGTTTAAGAGTATCGAAATCTGACCTGTTTACACCTGGCTGTCCTGAGATAAGCCAAGTGTGCAACAGCAATCGTCATACAAAATGGTTGAAGACCTTATTCTATAAAAAAAAAAAAACAAAAATCGACTAAAAACACTGCTGACCATATTTCGATAGGCCACTTAGTGAATAATATGTTCTCCTTATTATCAATATACCTACTAAAAAAATGGGTTTCAGCAAACAAAAAACCGACGCACGAACTAATCTTGCAACCGGATCTTAGACGATTTCAAACTTTATTTACATTTATATTATTCAACACGAATTTTGACGTGAAGTATTTGTATAGAGAAATAACTAATAAGCAACGAGTGGTCCTAATTATAGTGACATTGGCTGGAAGGCAGCGCTAGCTACTGGTCGAAGATATTTCTGTTTACGTTCATAGATGGCACTTTTACCAAATCATTAATCGAATGAAATTACAATCTGCGTGATCCTATTGAGTAATGTGTGAATTAATTACGTAATAAAGAAGTTAATAATGAAGTTTTAGCTGTTTTATGTTATATACATGTAATTTAAAAGTCAAACATTTTTAAGAAACCTTCTTCATTTTACTTCTATAAAAATACAATAAAAACATTTAAGCCTTATTGTTTTTATATATTTAAAAGTTTATATGAGGGCGTTGGATTTTTTGTTCAAAAGGGTTCAATGATTGTGACTATAGTTGCCAGCACATAACTTGGCAAGGTAAATAATATGGGGTACAAGTGCGTATGTACACTTAGTGAAACAAAAGTACTTTTGATGCTTATTAATAATAAAATTCACATCAGTACCAAAAACAATGAATTCAATTTAACTGCACACAAGTTAGGAAGCGAACATCTAATCACGCGCACGGAATATTTTCGTCTCATTTTGAATTATGCCATTAACACCTAAAAAATGTATTTTGTCTCTTACCAAGTAACTTGTCGGCTACTATACCTACCTGTAATCCTGAAAACAAGGAAATATAAACTGAATCCGTTGAGACTAATTAATTATTAAAATAATGAACTGTTATTTTGCTTCTAATTTACCAGCTTATTTAAAGGCAGACCCAATAATATTAAACAATTGTGCATTACGTTTCCAGGTAGTTACACAATAGACAAGATTTGGTGAAGTACTTAATCGACAATAAAATAGCTTAAGTACAAAATCTAATCATTATAATTAAATACATTAGTAAGGGAATACACGGGATTTTATCATTACGACTTTAATTCGCGTTCAAGTATCATATAAATACGGGGAAAGTAAAATAATTAGGCATAAAAAACTCAACATAATTTATTTAATATTTACACCAAACAATAAATATTGAAATCACAGTGAGATTAAAACGACAATAGAGTTACACTAGTGTAAGATTTAATAATCCATAAGTTATTAATAATTACTTATTTAATTAAATACATGAACAATTATAGATTTTGTTTGATATTTTAATAGAATATCTATAAACCAGCACACACTCACTATTGGCACTTTTAAAACAAAGTTCTATTCATAAAAGCTGATATAAAACAAAACAATTAAATCATAGAATAGTCAGAACAATAGGCTTTCTATAACTTTAATCCATACTAATCAATATAAATTTTTCAGTGAACAACAAGTGAATCAAAGACTCAACTACAACATATTTGACTTTTAAAAGCATGACATAAAGTATGAATTTAATTTTAAGGGTGTGTTGAAGCAATTTTTTTTAATCTACAATTATATTATTAAACTGAATAATGACAAATATCTATATACTTCCAAAAATATGAATCTCTAACAAATATAATATGATATTTCAATAAGAACATATGAGTTCTCGGTTTTAGTTATATAACTAGTAACTAGTTCACATAATTTTCCAAAAAGCCAAACCCTGGTATTTATTAGCGAGGGATGATATAGTTAACATTTGAAAGCACATTCATAAATTAATAAATTGAATTGATAATCGTTCTACAATAATAACAGATCATCTTGTATTTCTAAAGCTAAATCAACTGATATCGAGGCATTAGAAATCAATACAGAAAATTACTACATAAGAACTATTCATCAAGCTGTTTCTTATCTTAAAATATGTTACATCTATTAAAAAACATCAAGAATTTTAAATACTTTTATAAGATTCACTTTGGTTTATAAGCACATAAATTTAACACTTGCAACACAAAATATCTGTTAGATTTATAAATTATCTTACCATTAGTTAACATGTATTTATGTCTAATATTCTTCAATGAAAAATTATAATAATGATGTTTTTATTTCAATCACATTTAGAATAAATACAGAACTTTAATATGTGCTAAGATTACAGGGCAAAATATAATATGTTAACAATAAAGCCATTGAAACTTAAAATTATCACTAAGAATTGAAATAGATCCACTGATTTAATTGAAATTTCTATAACAATTCTGAGTCAAATAATGATTATGATATTGCAATAGGTAAAATGTTATGAAGTTTAATATGTAAAAAGTTAAAACAATATTTAATTTTTAATCCAATGTTCTGGTTTTGAAAAATTAATTACCCTAAGTTAGGAAATGAAATTGAGCAAATAAAAAAGAAGTTACATACACAAGAAATATTCACAATGAAACAAGGAACATAATGCAAATCAACTAATTTGATAGTGCTATACTATACTATTATAACTATAAACAATTAATAAACAAGCAATTTGATTCATAAAAAGAAATATATGTATTGGGTAAGATCATAATGCATTCTTTACACACCCGGACATAGCTTCATATTGAATCAAAATAGGGTACCCTGCACAAAAAACTAAATTAAAATAAATTATTATAATGAATATATAAATGTTTAAATACACACGAATTAAATTTCTAAATTAATCTTAAAATAAAATCATGACAAATACAAAAATATTGCAAAATAGCACCATGTTCATATCAAAAATATATGCAAAGAATTAATAAGCATATTTTAAGACAAAAAACAGAAAATGTATAAATTGATATAATTCACTAAATTTACAATTTATCAGCCTGCGATTGGTGTACAATAAAAATTTATTCTAACAATGTATTCTTCGGCTTCATTTATATATGAATTGACATATGGTGTGATAAAAAGCATTCACAAAACCAGTCTAATAATAAATATCTTACATATGTTGATGGGGTGTTTTAATAATCTGGGCACCTAGTATGGGGTATGGTTTTCCCAATAGGGGGAGCGTTTGGGTCTGTGGTGGATAGAGCAGTGTGTACAATAATAGCTGGCTGGGTTGGCGTAGGCGCATGAAGCTCATGACTTTCGCCTGGTGCTAAAGTGGCTAAAGCTGCCAGCAAGTCAGAGTTCACAATTGGCTCACCTTCTTCTCGGGGTTCCCAACCCACCGGTGGGCTTGCAGGAGGAGATATAAGGAATTGTTTTACTGGTGCCGGGGGTTTTAAGTTCTTTAAAGAAATCGGTGTAACCGGTTGCGCGAAATAACAGTTAATACACGAATTGTAGAATTGGTACTGATGAAACTGGACGCGGGCACTCACCGCGGAGAGCGGGCTATCGTAATTAACACGTAATCGTTTGAAGCTCCGCAGCCACTGAAATGTTACATTATTCGAAAATGTACGAAAAAGATCTTCTAATTCCTTCTTTAGCTTTTCGTCAGCAAAAACGTCACTGTGGATATTTGTTACAATTATGGACTGAGGCAAGTCATCAAAATCTTTTTTCTCCTCTTGTGAGTCAGATTCTTGCTCCAAATCAGCTATATTTGGATGTATGTTAGGCATACCATCCTCCGGATTTATATAAATATCGTCCTCTCGAAATGTTTCATCGTCATCTTTATTGGCCATTTTTTTAAATATTGGATCTAGCACATTCACTTCTTAGTCAAACTGTTTATTATGTTTTGATCACAACAAGGTCTCAAAGTATTTTCGTGAAACAATAATCGATGAATTTAAATGTCAGTAAATACGTGAAAAGTCAAAAGTGACGTAAATGTAGGGATACCATTTGTAATGAAATTAATAGAGTTCTCGATTGGTACAAAAAGGAAATAAATCTGCTCCTATTCACTTATAAAAATATCTGATAAAATTTATAATATGTTATCTGTGTTGTATTCGCATATAATTTGTTTTGCTATCTGTTATCATTTAGTGACTATAATGTCAAATCTTAGCTATAGAGTATAATCTGTAGAATCTATATGCATAAACGAATATTGAGTTTTGACTAGCGTCGATTGTCGTGGACTAGACCAGGATAATAGAAATAGTGAAGTTCGATTATATATAATAAATCGGATAAGGTTAAATCCTAGATAGCACAATTTATTGACTATGAAAATGGCAGGATTAGAGTCAATGGTTGTAGAGGAGGTTAGACCGGCAGAGAAGCCAGTTGACAGAGAGAAGGTAAACAAATGTTATTTATATTATTACTATACCAGTACGTAGTGTATTTTTTATATAACGTTAATACGTACATTTCAGACATGTCCATTATTGCTACGCGTGTTTTGCTCTACTGGAAGACATAACTCGCCCGGTGATTACGCTCGAGGTAATGTTCCCCAAAACGAGTTACAAATTTACACATGGATGGACGCAACTTTACGTGAACTTACTGGATTAGTCAAAGAAGTGAATCCTGAAACAAGGCGTAAGGGAACGTACTTCGATTTTGCAATAGTATACCCAGATATGCGATCACCTACATATAGAATGAGAGAAATTGGTGTAACATGTTCTGGTCAACGTGGTGGTGATGACAATAAGACACTATCTCAAGTTAAATTTCAAATCGGAAATTATTTAGATATATCAATAACTCCCCCAAACAGAATGCCACCTCCGATGCGAAGACCACAGCCTTATGTTAATAATCGTCCCTATTAGTAGTAGACTAGGTGTTTTGTCTAAGCTATTAGAAGTAATAAAACGTTTTATATTTTACATTTGAGTAATTTTATTTATTATATCTGAATTTTATATATGTAATTTAACTGGTCATCTGTTAACCGAGTCGTGGATTTTTTATGAGAATGCTGGTTTTTATTTCGTAATAATGTTGAATGGAGTTGTACTAATTTATTGTCTATTTTCAAACAATCAAGAAATGCATTCACTATTGCCAATGCACTACTGAAAAAGAATATTTAAAATAAGATAATATTTAAAATTAACACAAATTGTTACATAAATTGTCAATGTTTCTTAATTTCTTTAATATTACTATGATAACTCAATATCCAGATTTTTATTATTAAAAATTAAGTATTGTTGTCTCTCATTGCATTTATAAAATATATAGGTTGAAGCAAAGAGATGAGTCATCATCATCAGCTTATTGGAGCCAACTGCTGTATGTTCCTTCACTACCTGTAAGTAGTGTCTAAATACTTTTAGAAACTAAATACAACTCGAAAAAGACATTGGTACTTGCCAAGTTTCTAATACACACCCTCATGTATGAGAGGTGGGCCTTTAACTTCTAGGCCCCCACATTAAGGCATATTATATATTTTATGGATTGATATTAAACACCTTTTGTGTGTCAGTCTCACCCGTTATTAAAATAATTTACTAATGATGTATTTCATCTTGGAGTTATTCTAGGTAGTTCAATAAAAATTTGATGTTGAATTATGAAATAAAGAAAGATATTCCATTAACTACTAACAATAAATTTGTATGAGTTAATATAATATGTACCTTATATTGTATACTTAAGATGTATGTCAATTTCTCTGAATATGTCAAATAAGCTGGTGAACTATAAATGACTATGTCTGACAATGATTTTTATCTATTCTTTTACGTATACATATTTAAGCAATGGCCATGATGTGTTTCTTAACAAATGTTTATATAAACTTATAGTTTTTTTGACAGTGGAAAAGGCATAATTTTAATTTTAAATGTACATTATCAGTTTCATATGATTTTGGTTAATTTATTTAACTAAACAAAATGAAGGATTTAGGAAATTGTGAAATGAAATATCAGTCTTATTTTTATTATTTATTTTATTGTCACTGTCATTTTCGGTTGTAGCAAGACCATTTCAATAACAACATAATGGCTTTAAATAACACTTAATGACAATATAATCAATTGTCTTTAAAATTAGAGATCCTAAAATAAATATATTGTTAGAACTTAGAATTAGTTATTACCCGCTGATCTAAATGGCCTTTTAGACTTTTTACCCATGGCATTGAGATCTATGGTAATACCGTTTGGTAATACAGCCTTATTTTCTTGATAATCAATAAAACCTTTTTGTTCTTTATCCTCTTTGGTCTTATCGCAAGCAATTCCGGTCTCATAGTTGTATTCGCGTTTCAGACCATCGGGGTCAACATATCCGTACTTGCCACGAGTGATGCAGTCAACGCCAATAGTTTCCTCTTTAAATGTTCCATCGTCATTCTCAAATCCCCATGTGATGCTGCCATCTTCATTTTCATCTCTAAATTTACGAATGATTTGAGCCACAGGCTTCTTTTCCCTCGAATTTGATGGGGTGTACTTTTGTTGTGGTACACTCTTAACTGGTGGTCTCGAATATTGTCTTACGGGTTGAACATAATCGTCTTCTTCTTCTACGAATGGTTTTGGTTCAGGTCTGAAAGAGGGTCGTTGTGGTCTGCTGGACAAAGGCTGGAGCCTTGCTGGTTGCGGTCTGTTCTGTGGTTCATTTCTTACAGGACTAAACGATTGAGGTAATAAAGGTCTATATTGTGTTGGTCTTATTGGTTCAGGTTTTGGTGCTGATGGTGTTGTCTGTTGGAATTGGGCTGAGTTGTAAGCCGCTGGTGGTTTAGGTTGCGATGTGGTTGTAATGTCATAGAAATCATTTTGCGGTTCTGCTGTAGAGAAAATACTTGATACAAAAGATGTTGGTGTGTTGATATCTGCTTCATCTTCGGGCTCCTCTGTGACGGGCTTTGAAGGCTCGTCAAGAGATTGAAGGTTGGGGCGCGGTGCGGCGTCTACGGATTTAAAAGACGGCCGAGCGAGTCCTGGTCGGCGTATTCTGGCAATAGGGCCATTAATCGGGATAGCTTGTAACCTTCCCTGTCTGAAACCACTCTGTCTTCCCACTGGTCCTCCCAAAATTGCTCCTGGGATTTGAATCCTCGGTGGAGCTGGTGAATCATATTGTGCATAAACTGTGACTGCGCACAGCATACAAATCTGGAAAGAAAAATAAATTTACTATAAATAAATTGTTATAATTCTGTCTTTGTGGACGCAAATATTGTACATAGTAGTTTTTTGTAGTGAATAAAACAACTTAAATTTTTAAACATATTCATTGTTAAATTATTTATTTTTGTACTCTTCTAAAGTTTTATTATAAAACATTTTATACTTAATGTCATATAAATTATTGAATTGTATGGTTTACAAGATAATTTTTGTCGGAACGTAAAATAATTATGACAGCTTTAATTTTCGTTCGGAATGTACTACGTAATAGTTACACTTTCGAGTGAAGTGGGCCTTGCCTAGCCCAGAACGGCGACTGTTCTTGTTGACACTGACGAAACAATCATGTTTTGTTCAACTACCATATATAGCTTTCCAATTGCAAATAAAAAGCAGCGTAGTATTGTTCATTATATAAATATATTTTTATATACCGTTAACACAAGCGAAGTTAATAATTTATTCCATAAATTTGAAGTAAGCCTTAATTGGTATTAAATATATCAAACAATACATTAATTACTCAGGTTTCGATTACCGTATTAACCTGTGCTGGTAATCGTCCGTATAATTGAATATTACTCATATTTGCCCAAATATAATAGAAACCAGGACGTGGCTCATTTAATTTAATACGATTTCTGCCCATTTTATTTATTAAACGATTTTATTGTTTTAATTTAACTGTTTCCTTTCATTGGCTTTAAACTTTTATAAATCATGAATAACTTTCATTAGCAGTACATATATATGTATTTAGTCTTTTTTTATTTAATATATAATAATATAGTTATTGGATACTTTAAATTCCTATCTGTTTAGAGGTGACGTGAACCTCGTTCTGAAAGTGGTAAGGACGCCAGCCATTCTTCCGCCAGTCAAGGTGACCACCTATGAATGTAATTCATAAAGCGATTACATTAATCTTTTAATATATTATTCGATACAGATATATAAAACAATTGAATTTTTTACATAAAGGTAATACGTAAAATTGAAGTAGAATAATATATTTTAAACTATCAATATTATTTGTCGAATTATTTTGGACTATTCTGTGAAGCGAGAATATAAAATATTTAGGAATTAATTAAACAGTTCGTTTAAGTATACTTGATATAAGCTGTAAGAAAAGTTTTTTTAATATCATAAATTAATGTGTAACCTAGTTACATAACTAATATTTGCATTTTTCATTATGATTTCTTTTTGCTAAAGATTATCGTAACAAAAAAAATATTTTACTGCAATTATATTTGGTACAGATTAATACGTTTAGCAAACATTTATCAAACGTAAGTGTTGAAGTAAATTATATAATTTGTGTGTAATCTAGATACTGTTGTCTGGTTTGATAGCAGGCTTTGACGGAATCACTTTGCATGAAACTTGTATGAGCAAGTTGTATTATGCAATGCAATGAAAAATGTCGCAATGATATAATAGTTAGAGCATGAACTATACAGAGCCTGACCCGCGACTTCAACCTCGATATTAAGAATAAATAAGTTTTATTTCGATTTGTTTCTTATTGGCTTCTTCTTCTTCTACCTGGCTATTTCCCAGCTACAGCCAGGGTCTGCCTTACATGTTGTGAATATTTTTGGCTATTTGTTTTTACGACCGGCCGCCTGTCTGACATCAACCCTCTTTTACATATGACTCGGAAAAATCACATTGGTACTTGCCCGGGCCAGGATCGAACCCGCGCCCTCGCCTTTAACCACTGAGCCACCACTGATATATTGTTTCTTATTGGCTATGACAGCATAATCAGGGATTTTGTCTTCATTATTTTAATGTTTGTATGTGAGCCGAAATACAGACTTTATTAAAGAATTGAATGAAACTAAGTAATGGAAAATTATTGTCAAACTTCAAACAATAAACAAATAACAACCGTACTGGAATTGTTTTAACCATTTATGAGGTTACCACACATAAATCCATAGACAAACAGAAACAAAAAGTTTAATAATTGTGTCTTTGGTTATATTAAAGTTTTTCTTATATACCTTTGATATAGATTGCGATCAGTTTCAATACTTGTATATACATATGTAGACTTTAATAGTAATTAATATGTATAAATCATTGTATAAATAATTGTAACATAACTCATAATATACGATCCGGTATAAAAGGAATGTTAAGTAAACTATTTAAAGGTCTTTGTCAGTTGTATTCCGGGTGATATTAAGCGAGACGACGTTGATGTCTTTTATATGAACTTTCAAGATCGCGTGTAGTTCCTGTAACTTTTAAGGATTTTATTGTTTAAAGACTCATTTTTTTATATTTTTTTATTTGTTTTTTAAAACTTTTGTTTGCTTTGACAAAGTTTTACTTTAATCATATATAGAACAAACTAAAAAGCACTTACGGTTACATATTGACCCAGTTTAATGTTAATGAATTAAATTATTCAACCTTTAATACATTACATATGGTAATATATAAAAAGTTAATCTTTCCGTACGTTCTGTGTCATGGTTACTATTGCAGAAGGAGAACATGAAATTTATAATATGATATTGTTATGATATGATATTATTATGATATGATATGTTATAGTCCAGTAAATAATAATATATAAAAAGTCAATCTCTTTCCGTACGTTCTGTATCATGGTTACTATTGCAGAGAGAGAACATGAAATTTATGATATGATATTGTTATGATATGATATTATTATGATATGATATTATTATGATATGATATGTTATAGTCCTGTAAATAATAATATATAAAAAGTCAATCTCTTTCCGTACGTTCTGTATCATGGTTACTATTGCAGAAGGAGAACATGAAATTTATGATATGATATTGTTATGATATGATATGATATTATTATGATATGATATGTTATAGTCCAGTAAATAATTTTTGCAAAACTTTTATTGCTCATAATTCATTAAGAAACTGCGTTAATACTTTCTGAAATGAACATTTTAATGTTCACGATTTAATGTAACGTGACAAAGATATGTAAAGATAACATTTATGTCTCATATTAAATCATTATTACGAATAATGTATGAAAAGAAAACTTTATTAAATATTCCTTTATTATTAATTATGTTAATGAAATTATTACAAACTTTACCCATATAACATACAAATAAAAGTTCTTATTATAATATTTACCCTTTTTGTTAAAAGAATACAAGCATTCTTTATTATTCAACAATTACTCTTTGTTACTTTGTCTTCAAGGTAATTATATGACAATAATACTTCAAGTCTCATTGGCTTCTAAATATTTTACGTATAATAATAAATTTTAATTTGTTCCAATAGTTATTCTATTTCAAAGTAATCGATACATCTGTATCTTATCTTAATTTAAATGCTTTGGTTTATTAGAGTTTAGGTCTTTATATTCAATTGTCTATCTGTTTTTTTATATCTACTAATGAATTTATTTTGTAGTATTCATATTTTGAATGATTATGGGATTGTAAAGACTAAAGTTTTAAATAGTTCTCATATAAATGTAGTTGAAAAATATATTATTCTATATGATTAATAGTAATGAAAATTTTAGTAAGTGATTAATATACAATATATAAGATTTTCTATTTAATCTATTTATATATAAATGCTTTATTTATATCCGCATTTATTTTTAAATACATATATTGTGGTATATATAATAAATAATGTAATTTACATAAATTTAATTATAATCAATATAATTTTAAAGGAGTTGGATAGAAAGATATCTAAAATATTTAAATGTTATGAAAAATTGGTTTAGTTAATACTCTATGCAATTTTTTTTATCTAGTTATTTTAGTTATTATGAAAATTCTGTTTTATAATAATAAAAATAATATTTTACAACAATATAAACTATGGATTATGACTAATAAATTTCTATGAAGATATAATTCTCGTGTTTTGGCTAAATATATTTCGCTTTTTCAACTGAAACATTTACATATGAGCCACAAATGTCAAGTGTGGCGGCAATATAATATATTTCTCCATCTTTTAAATGAAACATCAATTGTAAAATAACCGTGGAATTTGAAATATGAGTTACAACAACACAATTTTTAGTTGCTGTTAATGAAGTTATTGCAATATAGTAATTATAAATTCAATACCGATATGGTTTGTTATAACTTAGTGAATGGTTTACACGATGGTAAAGAATTCATAAATGTATATACATTTTGTTCTACTTTTAATAGTAGTAGTAGTCAAGCCTGTTAATAGTAACAGTAGGCCCAGTAGGCCAGTAACGCAATAAGTTAAGCGTTTGTTAATATTGCGTGTTTTACGTAATTTAACCGTTAATATGATTGGTAGATATTAAAAATAGTTGGCATACGGCAATTTGTTACGCGTTAGAAATTAAAAAGGGCAATATTTCTGTTCGGCAAAAGGTTGCGTGCCTTGATTTGCAAACGCCCTCTCTGATACTCAAGGCCAGCGAAACCAATACCTACAGTCGATTATACGACCTAAATGTTATGAATACTATTGTAGTCATACATATTTTTAATTACACCAATGGAATTAATTAAATTGGAGCGTGAATTCAGGGTAGTGAAAATTCAGATCTGATGAAGCAGAACAAAAAGAAGCTTTATGAAAAAATTAGAAGATTTTTCTTCTCTATGTCTTTTAAAGAGTAGGTGCATAGATGTCTTTATTGATATCGTATGCGTCCTTAAAATATAACTCACCAGTAATGTCCTCATGATGTCCTGTGGCACGTCACTATCACGGCGCGCACGAACAACAAATAAAGGAAATGCTGCCCGCACAGCTATATGAGGTCGCCCACTCTCGCCCTGCGCCCGACGCGACCACCATACATATTGCAAGGTAACCAACTAAAAACGGACACTAGCTATTATATTACACTTACATATAACAATGCTTTACAATTTGGCTGCACTAAACGCGATGATACCGCTAGACGAGCCAATTAATTGACATTCGGCATTGCATTATTTGTATTCACCATTGATGCGTTTGTTACAAATCGGTAGGGTCTTTATAGTTTCATTCATTCTGGAATATAATTTTCAAGGTATGCAGATATTTCTGCTTCTTGAATCCTATAATTTTACATATCAGTGATGTCCTAATACTGTCTGACAATGTAAATATTCTTTGAGAAGATAGATTGCGTAGTAAATCTCAGTATATGCACCTGCACGATACAGATGCACTTGTATTCCCTTCAGATTACAAAAGCTGTGACGCAAGATCCGATACGTCCCGCCGATGTCGGGCATTGTTGAACATTTGTAATTCAATCGAATGCTCACAGCATGCGATATGTTTGGTTTTGCAATCATCGTAACTATAACACCAACATCGAATAATGAGTTGGTATAAAAGCTATTATTATTGATAATGTCAAGTGATAAAACATATATTTATGGTATATATGCAATTCGAATAGCTATATAACGATTTTTTTAGTAATATAATGAAATTCGGGTGTTACATCAGTGATATGACGACGTGAGCAGCAGTTGAAGTCGAGTCACGCAGCGCAACGGAAAATATGCAGCATCACAAGTGAGAGTGCTGCCATAATAGTTCATTCAACGCGTTAGATATGTTGCTGATTTTGCGATAGAAAATTAAGATACTAAACACGGTTGACTAACTTTATGTATAAGCTGGGATCAGAGATTTCACTTGCCTTCATATTAACTAGATACGCATATATATAATTATACTTAAACATTTTAAGGTAGTATATTGGTAAGTATTAATAAAAATGAAAGCCCAGAACAATTGTCTTTCGAGGGTGTAATATATAAGACCCGTTAACTGTCCTGTATCGCCTTTTTGAATGGCACGTTTTCTGATTCGATACGAAGCATACTCTATTTGTAACAATGGGACTTGTTTCGGGGTCATATACGTAGGCTGGCGTGTTACCGTTTTACTGTACTTATATCAGGAGTGTTAAGAGGTTAATGACCAGTGAAATTACATTAAAATAATTTTATAGGATAAACAGTTGACAATACAAAAGTTCTGTTATGAAATATTATATTGCAAACCTCGATTATATCCTTCGCGGTAGACCTTTATGCCCAGGGAAACATAATATATTATACTATTCATACTTCTTATATTATAACTATAAGAGCATTAAGCAACTAAACCAAAATAATTTAATGAAAAATATCACAAAATATTTGAATAGAAATAAATTTACTGTGTATATTCGGCATAAGTTTTAAAATGAAGAGAAAATTCAGTTCAATACTATTTAAATATCAAATTAGTTAACTTATCACGTCGTATGTGACGCCGGCAACCATCACCGTTACCAACATTTTGTAATGGTTACCATTAACCAAGGGTCTCCACTTGCTAAGCCCTAGACGGTGTCAATGCCCCGTATAATTAGCGTCACGTTTTAAAATACAGATCACACTTGACATGTATTTTGATGTATTCAAATTTGATTTAAATTTTTAATTAACCGTGTCTCAGTTGACCTACTCGCTAAATATTTTAAATAGAAATTATGGCTACTTGCATACGTTATTAATTCTTGTTTCTACATTACCAACTAGCTGTGAAATGGGTGTTCTTAGCGTTGAAGGTTGTATATGATGTTTTAGTTTATGTATTGTTATTTAAAATCACCCACTTTTCTTTTAAATGTCACAATATAACCCAGTCAGTATGTAGAGCACACTACTACGATAACTATAAATATTATATGAGAGTGTATTTAGATAATTTAAAAGTACAATAGGATATATCAAGAAAGCAAATAAACTTTGAAAAATTCGGACCTTACTACTCTCATTTCTTGGACTTAATTCGATGAGTTGCGTTTTGTATATGTGATAGACCGAATTCTGAATGGTTTTACGCCAAAGAACAATCTATAGTCAAGAATATCGTATGCGGAATTAGTACATTGATAAGAGGAATTAGATCGGTTATGCCTCTAAATAATTAGAAGATGGAGGGAGTCCAATTAGTGAGAAGAAGACCGTGTTAAGGTAAATATAGAGCGACATAGCAGTAGCAAGTAGCAAGAGGGATCGGTAATTTGACAAAATTGGCGTTTAGAGGATAGCTACATGCTGGATGCTGATGGGAAAAGTTCGAAAGTATACGGTAATACTAATTTGATAGATAGATTTGTGACGTCTTGTGATCACAAATTCTTGGGTCATCTTTTTCTAATACGGTAATGTTTTAAAGATATTTTCTAATTAAAAATCATTTTTTCATTAAAATATACAGTACATGAAAACGTGTTTTTACATTTCATGCCTAGAATATTGATCAATGAGAAAGGAGAAAAAGTATACTTTTAAGGCAATTTCAAAGACCTGAGTAGATATTCCTATTTCGTGTTAATGTATCGTATATCTGGATTCATTATTTGATGTGAATACAATAAATATGAAATTTGACTGCAAAATGTTTGCATGAACTGTGACAATTTTGAAGTTAAAATTAAATAAATTGAGAAAGAGGTAAAATTAAACAAGTATTTAAGACTCAGTATTTCAATAATAATAATCTTTTTTGGTCTGCGTTTATACTCAATACCATAATAATGAGAGATGCCAATATACAATACTGGGTACCCACCCAGGCTTTGCAGGGGTACTTTACGAATAATTTAAAATAGCGATGTTGCATATAATGCCTTAAATACTTTCTTTTTGAGTTCAATGATTACATACAAAAATTTCATCATCTTCCTTCGTTAAACATAAAAAAAGTTTGAACTTAAACGCTTTATTTTTATGTTCATAATAGTTTTTTAATATAATAAAATTAAAAAAAAAGTTATATACAAAATTAGTGACGTGATCATGTGAAAAGTGAGCTATCGCGTGGATTTAGTTTTAAGAATCATTAAACTTATGATAACTTTCAAATGGTACGTCCGAATTCAATAATTATAAATAATTCAAAACGTTATTTATTATAGATACTGATGTAGGCTTAAACACGAAGTAATTTATTTTGACAAGACTTAATACTGTAATTATGAAAAAAGCTTTCTTATAAAAGCTTCACGAATGGCAATTTTTAGAAGTAGTGCGATGGATATAGTATGTTATTCTTAAGAGATAGACATAAGCTATCGCGGACTTTTCTGTAGACCTATATTAGTTACACAATTCCACCATACATTGTTTTGTTACACATATCTCAAAGGGTTTTGGCAGCGTTTTCGTTAAAAGATCCCAGATGGCTCATTTCTTCCGACATCTTACACAAATACCGTTAATGTACACACAAATCAATACAGAACCTTAACAAATTATATACCTATTAAATGGTGGAAATCGCTTGTTAATTGGTGCAGTAGTTTTTCTGTTTATTGAGAACCGACAGACAGACAGACGCAGCTGGGACTTTGTTTTATAATATGTATTGATTGATTAACCCTCTTGACTAATATTCGAATGGGCAATTCATGTCTTTTGGTTATTTATATATTTTTACAAAGAGAGAGCTTAAGATATTGATTTACATCATGCGCACCTATTTATATAGAAAAATAACATATATATTTTTAATTTAATAAAAAGAAAACAGTACTATAAACCACTACTTACTTACTAAGATAACCACTTATTTGATTACTTTGTTTCTATGTAAGGCGAACTCTCTTGGATAATTATCCCAAATCACAATATTTTGTTTACATTACATTAATTTATTAATAGCATAAAAGGACAAACCTGATCCAGGTTAATTAGCTAACTGTAGTTTTATTAACATTTCATCGCATCTCAATAATTTAATTGCCTTTATCGTGATTTGAAACCAATAGAAATCCAATTTAAAAATAAAAACATAAAGCAAAAATGCTCCAAGTAGATAGATAAAACATTTTATAAAAAAAATATAAATATAAATTGCGAAAATATGATTCGTGAATTTCGATTTTAAAATAAGGAAATTGTTTGTTAAAACCCTAAAGAAATATTGTTCAGAAAGAGTTATTTTGCTGCAGTACGTTTTAAAATCATTTATAAGGAAGGAGGTTTCTTAAAACTAAAAATATAATTTTCTAAAGAATTTCCATAAATATAAATTGCACATTTCTTTCTAAAAAATAATTTATTTATTATCTTAATACAACTTTACATGTTTCATTACTACAAACATATTAACATATTTTACATCATGTATCACAAATTTCTTAATATATACGTCAAAGGTACAGTAACAGGTGATTTAATTCGTCTCACTACAATGTAAAATCTATTTAATCAATAAATTCTATACTAACCTAACTACTGTTAGTAAAAATTTAGAGTTAATATTTTTTATTGAGAAACATCGGAACAACAACAATTTGTAATCAAAATGTCATTATATTTATTGAATTAGTCGTAAACGTTAAATATCTTAAAACTCACAATGTGTGAAACTCAAGATTTTAATTTGTAATTTTCAATTAAAATTAATGTGAAAAATGTTTTAATTTCGTGTTTATATATTATAAGTTTATAAAACATAATTTTACGGATGTTTTAAAAAGTCACATCTGATTGCTCATTGATTATATTTAAAAAATATCATTCAAATTATATTCAACATTTTTTAATACTTTTGTATAATCTAAACACACATCGTCAGTATAAAGTTTATGCATATTATTTTATATATAACATAAGTACAGAAGCCTTAATATAAACAAGATTTTGTATACACATCAAATTACACAAAGAGAAACAAATAGTTCAATCGTGGTTTTTATTTATATATTCTAATAAATTATGGTAGGAGGTTAATTATTATTGATCATAACTATTGCCATTGAATGGAATGATGCTAACCAAGGTTTTAGTGAATGAAAACATTAACGAGATGTGTACTTTAAAAGATTATAGACTTGCAATTTATGATAGTAAAGTTCTTATAAACATTTGGTATTAAAACCAATCTCAGGGAATCGTAATATCATTTCTCTGGCAACGATTCAACAAAGATTTCTTGTACTTTGTATTGAACTCTCCGATATTAAACGTACGCCAAAAGTAAAATATATACATATATGTAATAATAATTTCAAGATTTTTTACTGTTGTATATTTATAAGCATGCACCATAACATAATAAATTATTGTTTAAAAGTATACATTTGCGTATGGATCATTTCGCCAATTAGTCTTTTGTTTCTGATTGGCTAACTGTATTTAAATCTGAACAATACATATAATATATCGGTAAAATTTAGCAATATACAGTAATTCAGACATTATTTAACGTACACAAAGAAGCCTCTTTTATATTTAAAGAATGGGAAGAAGTGTGATTGAGTATTTCGATTAAAATACTAGTGAAATAATTATAATAATAACAAAATACGTCGCTATATAAAACGCTATAATTTATAATTAAATATACAATAAAAAATGGAGCAGTTCTGAATGACAGACACCTTTTCAAACAATAAAAGATTATAGCAAATATTACAATTTATATTTCTATAGCAATTTTGGAATATAAATAACATATATTTTACTTTTATATAAGAGGTGGCGAACTTATTTTTTTATAATACACTCTATCTACTAAGTAACTAACAAAAAGAAATGCTCTTACTTTATCAATGTTACACCTAATATAGGCATACGTATAATTCCTATTTAATATTAAATATAGGTACATTTTCTTAAACTTACTGCAAAATTTCCAATGATGTAAAACATCTTCAAAACTATTACGTCAACAGAAGATTTTTTTCTTTAAGTATTCCACTTTATGTATGTCCGTTTATTCAATACCGCCTGTCGTCGCTGATTGTGAAAGTTCCATTGCAAGATACGTTTTTAGGTCTGAAATTGACGAGAATATTATTCAGTTTTATTTAGAAAAATAATAAAGACATTTGACATAGAACAAAAGGCAGAAATATATAAACAGGAAGGAAAAACATATTTTTTATTGTTTGCTCTTTAAGGCTATGAAGTTTTTATTGAAATTTTTCAGATGAAATAGAATAAATCTATGCCTACTTTTTGTTATCTTTTGAGTTTACTGTGTCTGGTAAGAGAAGGACGACGGCACCGCCTGCCGCACCCAATGCTGCTATAGTCACCATCGGCAAATGTGCGTTTAGTTTTGTCTGGAATAAGAAAAGAATAATCTTCTTACTTTTTCTTAAGTCAAAAATAATGCAGAAAGAACGGAGTTTGTAAATTTAAAGATATATTTATTTTTTCCTGATGATTCTTAACAAAAGTCATTACAATGCTATAGGTAAATTGGAGATGAAAATGTCGAAACTAATAAAGAATAATAAAACATGTTTACAAAGAGCGCAATTGAATGCGGAAATTACATGCGTTAAATCATTATCAGACAAATTAAATACTATTAAACGGAAGTTAATTTCTTTAATCGAATTAAAAACTTATTGTCATGGAAATACAAATTATAATCAAATATAATAATACTAACCAGTTCCCACAAATATGGGATACAAATGAGGGCCAGTCCGGAAGATATTTGACTTGCTCCAACACCAAGATTCCTTATCACAGTCGGATATAGCTCAGCGGTGTAAATAGGCAGCATCATATTTGTTGCACCGATAGCAAACTTCCCGACCATGAGACTAAATATTATTATCCAAACATCATCGTATAATATGGAAAGTAGTTCACTTGTGACACAGGCGACTCCACAAACGAACATGGTTAAACAGATCGGTATACGTCTGCCAGCCTTCAATAGAATAGGAATACTCAATGCGATTGCCGGTACTTCAACTACAGCAAGTATGATTGATGTGAGGTGCAAATTGCCGAGATTGAATTTACCGATATTTAACAAGAGCCCGTAGTATGCTATTGTCATTGAAAACCACGCAATAAACAAGCAAAAAGTCCTTTTTAATAAATATCCCTTGAACAACATGAGGACACTAGGTTCCTCTCTATCTTCCTCTACTTTATGTAAAAGAAGAAGTTTGTCTATATCAGCAACCGTGTTTCTTTTATTAAATTTGGCTGCCCTTTCCAATATTTCTCGGGCTTCTTGAGTTCTACCCATATTTAACAGCCATCTCGGAGATTCAGGTAGCACAAACCTTAAAATAAAATCGATATTAAATTACAAAATAAGAAACATTAAAAATATGTATGTAATTTATGATAATTACCACATCAAAAGTAGAAAACATCCTGGCACTGATAAAGCTAATTGCAGATGCCTCCAATTTGGCATAGCCAATGAAAGGAGGGATACAATAATGTATGCCAATGGTAGAGGAAAAAAGTTGCACACCCCTGCTATGGTGACCCATTTGCCTCCAACTAACTCTACAGACAGTACGAAGGCTGCGTAAACGACGGATACTGACACGAGACCCATTACCAGCTTCACCATCATATACTGTAAGTATGATTTGACAAGCAACGAGATAATTCCGAGAGCGCTTTGTGCTACTACCATGCCCATAAGAATCTTTTTACGGCCAAATCTGGAAGAGAAATTAAGAATTTTACTACGTGTTTGACGTTGTGTATTTATCTTCATATTCTATAAAAAAAATTACTCGAAATTGCATATGAACTGGAAGATTAGTACGTTATGTAATTTGCCATAGCATATATTTTTATAATGAATGAGTCCATAATACAACATCTAAATTTTCAGTTTTAACATTTTTCTGTCACTTGATACTTTTGTAACCATTACGAATCTTATAAACATTTATGTTAATTCTCCAAGCAATTATAAGCAATCATTGGCAGACGATCATTGCAGGTACATATACATCTATTCGTATCTTAAAACACAACCATCCTTTGTAATTGCAGACAGGGAGCTTAATTAATTAATACTACTATCATCAATAATCACACCTTTTTTATGTCGTTTTTAATAGTTATCTAATTTATATTATAGATTATGAAATAAGAAAAATTGGGATATGTATATATTACTTATTGAATTCACTAACACGAATATTATTCGCAGGATTCGGACCTGTAACCTGTTAACCATCAAGCTGTGGCGAACTGACACCTGTCGGTGCATTTGGCGTTATATATATTAAAATATCATATAAGGAAGTGATATAGAAATCATAGAAACGTTTATTTTTTCGTGTATTTTGTATCTATTTTACTTACTAGTGTTTTTGAAATGATCATATTTAAGTTCAAAGAGCACACAGACCGATAATTAAGTATTATTATATGATAACAATATTTTATTATAATTGATCTTTTCTTGTGTAGAATTTTCCATTTACTAATACATTTATAATTACAATATTATTTTTTGTCAAGAAATAATTATGTTAAATTTCAATTACCCGGATTCGAATAGTTATTAAAAATTCCATGCAATTATATTTGGACGTGCGTAATCTTGATGTATAATCCATCAAAATGGTAAAAAATAAAAACTTCCTCTTTATTAAATATTTAAAAAAATGCTCCTGAATGTTTCTTTAATGATAGTGCTTAAGAATTACGAATAGATGAAAAATAAACTGTATTTGAAAAACTACATATAAAAACATATCCCACACATCTCAAATTTCAACTAGGTATTAAGCAATTAATACAATCGTTGATGTTAAAAAAAATGAATTTATATGTATTTTATAAACTTTAAGTATTAAGAGATCAAGATTCTAAAGTATGTATAATGGTTTTATATAATAATAAGGGTGTTTCCATTTTAATTAGCCCGACGATTTTAACTAAACTTTTGTCATAGTTTTGTTGTTGCTGAGTATTTATAATTATGACAACTTTTATATTATTTATTAAGACTATCTCGCTTATACTTTTTTATTTAATACAATTTGATTTGTTAATATAACTGATCTGCAAAAAGGTTTTATTTAAATTGAATAACATAGTTAAGTACATGTGGTTATTTTAAAATGTTTATCTCGTCATATGAATAAAATCGTTATTAAAAGTAAAAACTTACTTATCGGATATCCAGCCCCCCACAACACCTCCCACTCCAACGCCTACTAAAAACACAACTTCGCCTAGGCTAGTCAAGTTAGCGTTATCGCAAACGAGATTCCATTCTGAAATGATCGTTTCTCCAACCTCTGATTTATCATATTCCCATTGAGTACATTTTTGAAATGAGTCCAATAATGGAGCCGTGTTGTTTAAGATGCTTTCCACCGTAATCCCAGGTGGCAAAACTCGTATCGAGCAAGCGTCTATGGGCTGACTGTAATTTATCCAATCGTCTACAGGTAGAGATGACAAATTTTCTGGCCTTTGACACCAGAACTTTGTTGCTTTCGCCTGTAATAAAAACAGTAGAATCAAAATAAAGATTGAAAAAAGCCACGTTATTGCTAATTTATTTGGTCAGGCCTTTGTTATCAATTAAGGTCCCCTTAAATTAAAGTATTTTTAACATTATTGTAACTATTTAAATTTATATCTAACAGAACTAAGATTTCAATTTATACATATATTATACATAGCTTATAATTTTAATAGAATGATAGAAATAATATCAATTAATATGTAATATTAATATGTATATTACCGTAAACGTTGGTAAATATATGTGAAAAGTACATGGGAAGGAGAACAAAGATAAGAGGAAAGTCATCATGAGTTGCCATCTTCCATAATCTCCAATGATAGTGGACACAACATCCGAGTCATCTTCGTTTGTTATCTCTGGATGTTTCTCTTTAGACCCCTGACTTGGAATAACTGTAACATATAGAGATATTAAATAAAAATATTGAATTATAAATGCGTATTACTAACCAATAAAATCGAATATTAAACCTTTTAAAACAATTCGATATTGTACGTTTATTGTAACTGTAAATTCATTGTTTCTTCTATACGATAAATATATATTTGAAAGGTACAATGAAATTATATGTATTAGTAACAGTTTATCGATTCTTGTAAGTTAGTGATAAATTAAAAAAAAAAATTTTTTTTCGCGTTACTCTTAACAAATCAATGGAAAAAATATGAATTTTGATCACAAGACAAACAACTGCTTGGTTATAGAAAACTTTCAAACGAGTAAAAATGAGCTATGTTTTATAAAATTTAACAATATAGATGGTGGTAGAGCCTAGCTGTGGTGAGTTACTACAGCTCGAACATGGGCTGGCTCGACCGGGGAAGTACCACCCTCTCACAGAAGATCGGCGTGAAGTAGCCTTTACTGGCTGCGTTTCGTCTGATGAGTGAGAGAGCCGGTTGCCCTTTCCCTATTCCTACCCTTTCCTTTCATTTCCTTATTCCCACCCTTCCCTATCCCCAAGAAACAAGGTTGGCAACGCATCCGCAACAAACATGTTGCGGATGTCCATGGGCGACGGTAACCACCTTCCATCAAGTGGGCCGTCTGCTCGTTTGCCACCTCTCACATAAAAAAAATAAAAAAAAAAACAATAAAATGCCTAACTTTATAAAAGAATACAGATAGTTTACAATAATATTTAATAATAACTTATTTTAAATTCATGTTATTTTTGTACATGTGTTTTTTTGTTCCAGTAACAAAGCATCGGTGTGTCTGTTGTGTATTCATACATATTTATAATTATAGAGTACTTAAAAAAAATAAAAGATCCACTGTTTATGTTGTCTTTAACGTATGAATAAATTAAAATGCTACTATTATTACTAATAAAAAATAAGGATAATAATTCCGTTTTTGTTTTAATGTTTTATACGAGTATTATGTTTTGTTCACATAATATATTCAACCTTCTTCCTGGATTTAGGTGATTGCCCCTGTTATGAGAGCATTGTTCTAAAAATAATTTTGACTATTCTTTTGTATAAGATACTTGTATCGTAAAACTCTTTATAGTACAGAAAAGTATTGTATAAATAGTCTAAATTTATTTGTTTATACGATGTTCGAAATTCATACATTTCCATAATTTAATAAAACAAAATTAATAACTATGACAACAAGTCGTCCTATCCTTAATTAACTCATGTTTTAGTCAGCGTGTTATTCGAATTATTAAGTCTAGGCCGCTTATTTTGTCACTGATCATTCTTATTTTAAAATTCCTACCATTGTTCGTTCGTAAGTATAAAAATATTATAGTAAATATATTATTTACATGATGTATAGAACGCTTGAATGTTCTGGACTCCGGTGTCACTGTTCTATAAATAGATGGTAATTAACAATAATTTATAAACTGCACACTTCTCTACATCATAGCGTCTTATAATTAATTGCGAATCACTTCTTATCAATCGGAAGAATGAAGACGGTGAGACTTAGTGTTTTATTTATTAATATATTTACACTAGCACATATGTTAAACGTTACGTAATTGTTTTTTAAAACAAATGAACAACTATATTTGCTTTGAAACATTGAAAGAAAAAAACTATATATTACTAAAAATGTTTCTAAAGCTATATTGTATAGTGTTGCTACAGAATTGTTTGTATGAATTCAAATATGTACAGAGTAAATTATAAGACATATACATTTGCGAAAAATGTTATTTTGTAATCCACAAAACCATGTTTGTGAATGTGCAACTAGACATCATATAGAGTTATATGTATAAATACATCGTACTAGTATTATACTATAGATTCGATATTTTTAGGAATATATGTATGAAGGATAGCTTTTTGCTGTTTGTTTAATGAAACAATAATATGGCTGAGATATAAGAATAAGACTATGCTAGTATTTATCCCGGAATTCCGAGTAGTTCTAGCAAGACCATGCCATTATAATTATATTTTCGAATAAATCGCGTGGCAAAGACTACAGACGTCGCTGGTTGGTTGGTTGGTTGGTTGGCTGGTTTCTATATTCATTATTTTAAAAAACTATATACAAGTCTTCCTAAAATTGCAAAAAAATAATAGCAATTCTGTTCAAAATAGCAACTGCATCAAAACTTGGATATTTCTTAAAATATTCAGAGTTTGTAATTTAGAGCTCACGATTACTGTCAATGACATTGAAATTCCCAACAAGAAATTCACGTAATTACTTGACATTTAGTTATTTGACATAGATATTGACAAAATTGCAGTATTAATTTTCAAGAATTACTGAATCCTCTCTTCAATTAACCCAAATCTTTCATTCAAGACGATTTCTTTACTGTTCAAAATTCGCAAAAAATTTTAAACACACATTATATTCACTTTCTTAACAAATACTTCCCTTTTAAGTTCGTGCAAAACGGTTTTCCGCTCTGATCTCACGATTGCTGCATTGGTTAAAGATACCAACAACATTTTTTATTTATAACTATAAACAGTTTACTATCTTGACCCTGATAGATATTAACAATAATCTATTGATTACGGTATTCTATTATCCTTATTGCAATCATTTAAATTTTAATATATGTCCGACATAAATATTTCATTATCTCATTCTTCATTTCATCTGGATTTGCCTATGAGGTGCCTGCCTCGGGTTGCATATGACTTATGATGTTTTGTAGTTTCAGAAAGTCGAATGAATTGAAGTTAGAAAAACATTTGCATGTTAGTGCGATGTGCCATATTTTGATTTTATTTTATAAATTATTATATCAACCCAGTCTACCATTTGAAAGCCGATGACATTCAAATGTTTTTGAGATTTAAAAATACTTGAACTCTTAGTTTCTCGAGCAATTCCCACAGAAAATAAGTAAACTAAGTCTTTTCTTCTAAATACAATTAGCTACAGCAAGACACGTGCTTACAGCAACTAGCCTTCTATCACCAGCTTCGTTACTTTTTACGAAAAATAAAATACCCCTTACTACGAGATATCAAACAAAACACTTCTAGTTTGTGATTTATAAACCTCCGTTGATTCTACAATTTATGCAGATTTATTAATGAAAATTTAACCCTATTGGTGTTTAGCTTGACGTCGTAAACTTGTGGTAGGGTTGCGATGTATTAAAAGTTAAATGAGGTTTAAGAACCGTGGCAATAATCTGCACATCAGTATCAATCAACAGTATGCTTCGACGGTTTGTACACACTCGCCAACTTGACGTGAATGGGTTTAAAATTCTTTACATAAATCTTCGTTTATATTAATACGTCAGATGATTCATGAATGAATACCATTAAAAATGTCAGCTTCTTTATCAGTCACTTAAATCGATATTGAGAGTATATTACTCAAGAAAATATACAGATTTTTTTTTTCATGGATATAAAAAACTATCCAACAAGACGGTTTAATAAGACGAATGCGGACCTATCATTTTTAAAATCTCACATACGTTAATCGAACCATATGAAAAATATCGGTGCAAAGCGATCGTTCAATAATAATAACATAATTTACATGTAACATTTAATATCCTTGAACACATATTAACTTATAAGAACTATTTTTTATAATAGCCTTAAAAATTTTAATTATTTATCTAATACAAGTGAGAAGTTAATATGGTAGATAATTAAATTAAGAGATAAAATGTGTAAATAAGCCTTTATAAACATTTAGATTATTGAGCCCAGATCTTGTTTTAATCGTTAAACAATAACAAAAGGCCACGCTAAAACATGTGGCTGGTAGAAGGTATGTAATGTTAATTTCGTTTGTTGTGTATTCATTATACAGTTTATATGATCTTTATTTAATTTGTGTAATTTCTGTCCCGTTTATTCAAATAAACTATGCATTAATAAATATTAGCAATAACTAATCGGTATTGCATGATCCAAATATGAAATACTTATACCTACTATACTACTATACTACTATTCTTTGCTTGGGGCGCAGACTAACTATAATCTTGTCATTTATAAGAGAGAATAAAATATTCATTTTATTAGTAGATATTCTATTTAAAAAAATTAAAGTCCAAAAAATAAAACTGTTGTCGTTTTGGATATGGATATAACGGCTGCAAAATATCCAAAAACAAATTTTGTAATTTATTTTACTCTTTACGAGTAAAATAAATTTACTTAGTAAATGATTTAATTTACAATTAACCTTTTAAAACTTATTGCATTAACTTAAATTAACTTATTAGACACTTGGTATTCCAAAAGTATTAAATATAGTAATTATTATAAGTGATTATTATAACAAATTATATGTTGAAACAAAACTTTTTACTTAGTCGTTTATTGCTACATTTTGACTCATTGTTGAAATGTATTATTTTCCAATTAGATTAAAAGTTAAAGTATGTTTCTTTTTCCACGTATATAATTACTAAAACAACACCCGATGTAGCATTATAGGTATTTTAAGAGTAGTGTATTCTAAGGTAGAGGAACAGTTTCCGTTCATTTCATATTTTTTGGGCTTTTATCAAGATATAACCTTTAAGAAAGCGATAAACAATCATGAATTGTTGTGATATTTAGTTTGAACTCTTTAAATGAAGGAACTATCTTTAAATGAATTCAAAATACATTTTATCTATCTATTGAGATATACTAACACCAATGCTTTGTTAAAATTGGTATATGACAAGTAAATACATACATATGTATATGTACGTAAGACTAACGCGGTTATGAACTGCTTACTATTTTTTAAATTAATTTTGAAAGATTTAAAACAGAAGTTTAAGTAAAATAAAATATATATTTAAGTTTATACAGGTGTTTGAGTTTGTTACTAGTTGACACAGGACGGATTCAATGAAATTTAATGTAAGGTTATGCTTTCTTCTGGTAAAATTACTGAGAAAACTATAAACATTTTTTTTTAAATTATTAAACCTTGTGTT